TGTCTTAAGACAGTATAACAAAGATTATATAAACATTACAGATGTAGAAGGAAGAAGAACAAAGCTGTCTATTGCAAAGTTTAAGAGAGACAATGGTTATACATAAATGACAAAAATATATGACCTCATTATTTTTATCACGAATGACCTCATTGCTGACAAAAATAAATGACCTCAGAACTTCAACTTACGAATAAAGCTTGTTTTAGTCGTTATTGAGAAGTTAAACTTTTCAAAGCAAGGTTGACATGACTTACATAAGTCAAATCCAATCTCTTGACCATCATGAAGTGCTTTGTAAAGTTTCATTAAACTGAACTCAGAGTCTTTGTCATATGTTCCAACAGGTATGTGAATGTTCTTATCTTCATTGTAATAGCATTGTATAGCTTCAGGAAACATTTCATTTGCTGTTAAAGCAAGGACGTCTTGTTTGACACCTTTGCAACGTGCATGGAATGCAACTTCATTTAAATCATTCGTGAGTAAGTCTATGTAAGTCTTCTTTCCACAAAATATTGACTTGTATGCTAAACTTTGTTTTCCAGGTGTTATTTCTGCGAAGTCAGAATGAAATTGACCAAGGTTTTTCCTATAAGTTCGCGACCGTATCTCTTCTTAAACTCTGCTGCAAGCTTTGGTATGTCTTCATTGAAAATATGCATGCTATCACAGTCCTGGTAAAATATTTGAAGTCCCATATCTTCAGCAGTACAGAATACTTCACACATTATTCTCTTCGACATGATAGAATATTAACACCAAGTGGACAGAAGTTAAAGTGTCTGCAAATGCTTTTCGTTAGCTTGAAAATAGTTTTATCTGAACCATCCAAACCTTCGAACTTCACTATATGGTTGTAGTTTCTGATGGCATATCTTATAGCATCTTTGTCATTTACTATGGTTATTTTTGACTCAATAGGAGATAGAATAGTTTTGCCATAAATACTGTTCAGAATGAGCTTTATATTTTCTTGCAAAGGATTTCCTTCTTTCTTATACTTTAACCTTAACTCAAACAACTTCTTTACTTCATCTCTTATTCTAATATCTCTGTTTCCATCGTAATAGTATCCTTGCAACACTTCACATTTGACACCTTGATATTTTATGAGGTCTTGTAATGTTATATGGTCAACATACATGAACAGCAAGTGTTTGAACTTCTGGGAACGTTAAGTTCTGGATTTAGTTCAGGGTCACAAACTATTAAAGGAAAGTGTCTATGTATTCCAATCTCTGTTATCTTAATGAGAACAAAGAAGCCAGACATAAACTTTTCACCAATGGGTTCCTTTTGGTCGTCATCGAATAAATGTCTCATGAGATACTCTGTGCTTAACATTTCTCTTCATACTTTGGAATCCTTCTAAAGTATAAAGTCTTGCTATAGCTGAGGGATATAATGAAACAGCGTCGAAATCAGCAATGAGTTTCTTTTTGCTCTTTTGTTTCATGTTATCTGACAACATACATCTTCCACCTTGAATGCATCTCGAAATAAATTCTCTTGGTTTATTTGAGAGGTCATATAAATTTCCATTCGGGAAGTACACTCTGTTCTCAAAATTTGTTAGCAATAGAACAAATACTAACGTAGTCATAAACGTTTAAATCAAATTCTTTCAATAAGTCATTGCGGAACTTAACAAAACCTTCTCTTAAAATTCTTACATCTTGTTTGCAATAAAATGTGCTATATTTTTCTAAGTCGAAGTGGTTTCATCTATTCTGCAACCTTTGATGGAATCTATGTTTTCATGAATGTATCTGCATCCTGGATAAACTTACACGCTTCAGAAATGACACCAGTTCTGTTGTCATTTGCTAACAAAACACTGCTGTAGTAGTTATATGGAAATACTTCTTTCGGTCCTGTTTGTAAGTTAAACATAGCAGGAAATAGTTTAAGCTTCTTATTTATAACACTGTAAGAGTCTTTTATAATAATTGCCCTTCCTTTATATAAGCCAGTTATTTGCATTGTTCGTGAACCTTTAATGATGGGAGTTCCTTTCACTTCTGTCATGTGTCTTAAGATGAAGTTTATATCATACTGAGGTTATGGAAATATATTAAACTCTTGTCAGGAAGTCGCTCCAAAAATTCTGTTGCACAGTTCTGACCCCAAATGCTTTCACTCACTGAACCATCTTCACTGTCATAACAGATGTTAAAAGCTTTATGAAAGCCATCGGTACTACACTCAAAGTCAGCAAAGAAAACGTGCTCAGGAATGAACTTGCACTTATTTTTATTTACTTCTTTTGACTCTGCTTTCTTCTTCAGTTGTACACAATACTTTGGAGCATATGTCAAGTCTTTAAATGGTGCAAGGTTCTGTTTATATAAGTCAGTAGTATATGTGAAAAGTTCTCCATAAGAAATAGGTTCGAAATATTTGCACTCCCACAATGTTTTCATAACATCCCATAACGGTGTTGTTCTATCATAACGAACTACATATTTATCTTCTCTCTTTGTATAAATCTTCATCTGTTTCTCAATGTTCATTCCACCACAAGCTTGAGAATTTCTATATAGTTGCGAATGAAATATGTTGTCATTGGTAATCTTTCATTTAGCATGTAGTGGTCTTCAACAAGAAGTAAGTCAATAGTTCGAATAGTTTTACATTCTTTTGGTATGTATCTCTTTATTTCATTATGTCTTGAGTCATTGAAGTAACCAATGGTAACATTAAATGCTATACCTGTTGCGTCAGAAATTTCTTGTACTTTACTTTGAGGAAAGTCTCTAAAACGAATGACTTCTCTCATGTGGTCAATATCTCATCCATCTACTCCAGCCTGAATGCAAGCATAAACGAAACAATTGTCCTCTGTCATAAGTGTTGCAGTTCTTTTGTTCAGTTCATTGAAAATTTGGTAGCGTTCAAGATTTATAGGTAATGTGCAAAGATACTTCCAGAACTGACCGCTTCTCTTCTTATAAACTTCTTTTCACCATTATCTTTCCAAAAGCTTTCTATAAGTGCTGGGTTTCCTGTTTGCTTAAGAGCTTCCAAAATGGCTTTCTGGTCATTTGTCAGTGTGCTTTCATCTCTATATGGTCTCTTTTTGGTTTGCCTTCTTAACATCTGACATCGTTAAGCCTTCATATTCTGTTAAATCATACATCTTTATTTCATAAGATTCTTTATGTTTGTCAAGAAGAAGTCATAGTGCATTTCAACAATACCTGCAGCATTTGCTTCTATCTCTAATATAAAGTTTCTCCTTCAAGAGCTGATGTAGTAGTGTTCAATATTATTGAGGTTTAACGTAGAACATTCATACTTTCCACCAAGTTTATAACATACCATCCATCTTTGTTGTGAGTTTATTTTAATTTTCTCTAAGAGTCTCATGAAAACCTTACCGAAATGTTTGTGTAAGTAGTCTCTGTTTGGTTCATCTAAAGCTTCGATGTTAAAGTCAATGAGTCTATTGCCTGACTTCACATTTCTCTTCCTATTCTCTTCATCTTTCTTTAACCATCTCTCACCTTCTTTTGGTTTGTCGTCAATGGAACGAATGACATCGTAGCTTTGCGAACTTGTTCTATAGCACTTTTAAACATCTCTCTTCTCTGTTGTTTCAGTGTGTCGTCTCTTCTTCTTGTTTCACCAACGTTTGCATTTGTTATGTCAAACATTTCTCTTACTTCATGTGGTACAGCTCTTCTTGTTTCACCAACGTTTGCATTTGTTATGTCAAACATTTCTCTTCTTACTTCATGAGGTACAGCTCTTTCTTGTTTCACCAACGTTTGCATTTGTTATGTCAAACATTTCTCTTCTTACTTCATGTGGTACAGCTCTTCTTGTTTCACCAACGTTTTGCATTTGTTATGTTCAAACATTTCTCTTCTTACTTCATGAGGTACTGAACGTCTATGATATAAGTCAATAGCAGACGTCATTTAAAGGAAATGCTCTTGCATGGACTTCGTCCTCGCCGGTTGCGGCTTTATGAACTCATGAATTCTATATAACTTAAATTATGCACCATTATAGTCCTTTAATGAAGTCAGCGAGTGGCTTTTTTGTTGTTGCGCGTAATGCTTTGCAACATCTATATTAGCTTCTGTAAGAAGTTGTTTTATTTCCGAGTGTTCTAACTTAGACAACATTCCGATACATCTTTAGTAGGAAATAAAAAAATATTTTGAAAAAATTAGATTAGATTTTTTTTAAGTTATTTTTCAAAATAATTTAATATTTTTATTATAATGAAACACATGCAAGATTGCAAGTTCTTTTCATACAATGCTCTCGCTACTGCCATCAAGAATGAGTTCAATAATGCTTCAAATGTTAATGTTATCTTAACAAGAAGTTTGTGAAAGAATCTAAGTTTGGTCAGTATGTCAGACCATTAGCTATCGTCATTGACCGCAAACGTTATACTTCACAAGAGTTAGCAGTAGTTTTGAAACAAAAGAGTTTCTTCGTGAATGTCAAAGATACTCATTATACTGTTATAAAGAACTCTAACACATTGACTTCTTCAGTATTGCTATGAATCTTTCCGAACAGAAAGAATATAAGAAGGGTGAAACAAATGTGAAATATTATCCTTCATCTCTGAAGACAATAACGAACAAAGATGTCATACAAAAGTTCTTACCAAAGGTTGAAGAAGCTTCAATTGACATTGACGAAGGAAGTGAAATGGTTGAAGAAATAGACCCTGAAGCTATTTAAGCAAAAAATATATTTTTGGTTAGTCTTCATATCGATATTTTACAACAATTCCCACATGTATATAACTTTTCATACGCTTTTTCATAAGCTTTATATACCTTCAGAAATTTTGCATAATCTTTAGAAGCATTTAGATATTGTTTAAATGCTTTGTATGTCTTCAGAAATTTTGCATAATCTTTTACATGTTGTTCGTTCTCTTCTTCTGTCATGAGTTCCGAATATTCTAAATTCATGTTCTTTCATATGAGATAAAATTTTATAAAAAAAAATAAAATTAGCTTAGATTTTCATTCTTCCTCTTTGAAGTTATCGAAATACTCTGTTATTTTTTCCTTCAGTAATGGTAAGTCTTCTTTGAAGGTAAGTATTGTACAACCTTTGATGTCATAGTGTGTTTGAGGAAGAGTATTTTTGACAATTTCCTTTATTTGCTCATTCGGTGTCATTGAAATCGGTAAGTTTTCACGATAGAACCAGTTTCTGTCAGATTTATATATCTTAGCAAGGTCGTAAAAGCTTTTGTTGTTTCTTCTGACTAAATGTAACATAACCATATCTTTATCTTCTTCATTTTCCAACTCTTCAGTATATATCATATACTTATAACTCTTTTCCTTTCCTTTTGGTACTGAACGTGGTATTCTTTTCTGAATGCTTTTGTCTTTGGATTCAAGCTTGTTTTCCATCTCTTCACGTTCTTGTCTATGAATTTCGTCAAGAAGTCTGTAAACATGCCATGCATAACGAGGAGAAGCCCACATTGCTACAGCATTTACGAGAAGTCTATGTACATAATATCCTCTCAAACCGTTTGGCAATTTTTCACGATTTTCATAGAGTTTTGGCGACCCCGAAAAAAGTCGGTCTCGCTGTTCTTCACGATTTTCATAGAGTTTTGGCGACTGCGGTTTTTTACTTACTCGAGTTTTTGCGACTACGAGAAAATCCGTAGTCGAATTTTCAGCTTCATTTAATAGTTCAATAGTGCTTTGGTTCCTAAACCAGTCTTGTGGTTTCTTAGTATCTGGAGCATAACATGCTGTCAAAATACTTTGCATTTGGTACATATCATCTTTGACTGAACGAATGAGACGTAACTGTTTGTTATATTGTATGTACTCGTATTCTTCATTTATAGCTTCATGAACGATAGCAGTTGTTGTGCTCTCTGATGTTGTCATTACTGTCTTTACATACAAAATAAAAAAATAAATAAAAATAAAATTAGCGTTATTTTTTCTGAGATAAACACTATTTCTTCACAACATTAAATTTTATCCTGTATGAAATGACTTTAAAAAGATTATTGACTGACTTCGAATACTATCTCATTGACGCACTGACAGACCCTCAAAACTGTGTTGAAAGTTCTTTAAGCTTTAAGATTGAAGGTACGACGCATTTTTGTCTTCACTTACGTATTGAAAAATATGACCGTTATCATAACGAAGTGAATCAAACACTAATAAAATTTGTAGATAAAAAATTGGTTAACAATGAATATTTTAAACGTGAAGACCCAAACACTGCTGGAGATGATGAAGAATACAGACAAGCTATTGAAAAAATAACGCAAGATTAGATGCAATAGAAAAGAATTTTAATGAATGTCTTACAAACACGTATGAATATCTTATGCGGTGGGAAGCTAGATGGAAATAAATTTACGTCAAATATGCAATTTATAAAATCTTATGTCGACAGGCTACGTAGCACAGTGGTCTAAGGTGGTGTTATGGAGGGGTCAAGGTCTGTGGTTCGAACCGCGACAGCGCCGTATTTTCTTATTTTCTTTGTTTGTCTTGTTTGTCGTGAATAAAAAGTGTCATAAAAGTGCTCTATTTTCCACGGGAATAAATAAAAAATTTACTTTATTTCTTTGTTCCCGTGGAAGAAGGGTTTTGCTGTTTTTTCTGTTTTTTCTCAGCCGAAATCAGTGATTTTTTCATTTTTGGAATCCTTAGCGAATGAGGAATCTTTTCTCTCGTGGAAGCTTTGACCAAAAATATAATTTAGGTGAAGAGGTGAGATCTCACCTGTTTTTTCACCTCTTTTTTCACCCTCATGACTTTGTCATAACTTCTTCGTAAATGCTTTGTCATAACTTCTTCGTAAATGCCTTGTCATAACTTCTTCGTAAATGCCTTGTCAAGATTTCACCCTCATGACTTGTCATAACTTCTTCGTAAATGCCTTGTCAAGATTTCACCCTCATGACTTGTCATAACTTCTTCGTAAATGAGTGTAAATGACCAAAAATATAATTGAGGTGAAGAGGTGAGATCTCACCTGTTTTTTCACCTAATTTTTCACCTCTTTTTTCACAAGCGTTTTACATGAATTGTACGATGTATATTTGAAATTCTAAACAATTTCGTAGCTTCTATTTCTTCTGTCAGTATGTCAAAAGTTTTAACGATACCGAAAGTTTCTTTATACTTCTTCTTGACGTCAGACAGAAGGAAATCTTCTGCTGTTGGATAGTTTTTGTTCAGAAATGCTAACATGTCCATTTTATCTTCTGCTGGCTTTTCTGCTTCTTTCTTTAAGTCTGCATAGTCGTTTCTCATTCTTTCTATCTCTTTGACGGAGTAGTTATATTTTCTTATTCCTGCTTTACATTTTGAACATTGCGGGTTCATTTTTGCGTTATACATTGAAATAAAACCAGCTAAAACAACTAAAGCGTCAATTGCTCTCTTCATCTCAAACATAGCGGGTCTTATTTGTTCGTTCCATACTTTGCCTCTTCTATCTTTATCTCTTATTTCCCAAACACATTTTGCAACTAATGAAACAAAATTATCGTAAGTCTTAAACTCCTCAGATTTATATATGTCAGAAATGTTTTTATAAACCATGTCGCAATCTTTGTCCATAACCTTATGGTTGCAATGAAAACCAAGGAATTCATAATTTACTTTACGTATGAACTTCTTTATTTCTACTGAATCAGTAACTTTAACTTCAATTTCGTCGAATTCAGGAATAGTTAGTTTTTGCTGTTGGATTTCAGGCAATTTGGGTAAATGGTCAATAATGTCCTGCATTTCATAAAGATATTCTTCATTTTCTTCATCCTGTGCGGTACAGTCTAAATTACTTGTTAAAAGTTCTTGCTTTATTCTTTGTATTTCTGTTTCGAAAGTAAATGAAGAAGGAATGAAGTTTTTCATCTCTACTAACATAGATGTTGGATTCATGACTAACGAGTTTGGTGCTGTTGTTTGAATTGTTGTTGTGCCGATTGTTGAAATCATATCTTTTATACAAAATAAAAAAATAAATAAAAATAAAACTAACTTTATTTTTTCTGTCTTAAGGAAATTCATGAAAATTCACGGGGTGAAAAAACAGGTGAAAAAACAGGTGAGATCTCACCTCTTCACCTAAAATATATTTTTGGTCTTTTGTGAAAACACACAAAATTCATGAGTTTTTGACGAAGTGCAAAAGTTCACTTCGTGTCATAATGCAAAAAAATAATGCTGAAATCATGAAAATTCAAGTGGGTGAAAAAAGAGGTGAAAAAAGAGGTGAGATCTCACCACTTCACCTAAATTTATTTTTGTCTGATTTACATCTAATGAAAAAGTTTAGAAGAATTTTCTTATTCTTTCTGACATATTTTTGTCTTTCCAGTACTCCCGCTCTAATGGTCCCAGATGTGTTGGCTTCGACTCTCTCAAGTTCTTAGATGGTATAACATCTTCAACACCTCCTTCATATCTTACTTTATAAGTGTCATCGTTTATGTTATAGTCAAGTATTTCAATAACCACTCCTCGCTTTGCTTCGTCAATGGTTTCAGCAAGTTTGCCATTACTACTTTCAACTAATTTATGACGAGGATAAAACGCAATGGAGTCGTCAGCAGCTTTTATAAGATATCCATTACCTTGCGTAGAGTCTACGATATAATAATTTCGACTTAACCTTAAACGTTTCTTTGTCAACGGTTTGTCGTCAAGAACTACACGAACTTTTGTTCCAGGAATGAGGGTAAATTGTGTTGAATTTCTGATATTTTGTGTTTGGCTTCGTTTCTTTTGTATATACTTTTCTTCTTGTTGTTGTGTCATTGAATTTGGTGTATGGCCTGTTGTAGAATGTGTTGAGGAATTATATACTTCGAGAAAATGTTTCATTGTTTCTTCGGTAAAGTCTCGCTCTTGGTTTAAATCTCTGAGAGTCCTTATGAAGCGGTTTATGATGCCGAGTATGTTATGGTTATGGTCTTCAGTAGTGTAGTGAGTTATGTTATGCTTAATGAGAAAATCTGTGATTTCATTGCTGAGGTATGCACTGTCTTGGTCTGATGTTAAAGTACTTGGGCTATGTTCTGCTACAAACTTTTGTAAAACTCTTAACACTTCACGAGTTCCTTTATTTTTCATTGGATATGCATATGCTTTACGAGTGTTAACATTAATGAAGATGAGGAATGGTTTATGTCCTCCTTTTCTGCTTTGAATGAGAGTGTCAAATTGGTATGCGTCAGGAGCGTTGGAGTAAATTGGTAAAAAGTAGTCGTAAGGGTTTATTTTTGTTTGATGTACAACATTTTTGTCAAAGAACCTTTTCACTTCAGCTCTGTTAGTAAATCCCCAACTCTTTGCAGCTTCATTGAACTTCTTAAATGACCTCCATGGATGTTGTTCGAATACTTCTTTCAAGCTCATTTATGTAAAGTTAAAGATTTTAACCAACTCGTATCCAAGCGTGCATTGTTATATAAGGAGGCATATAATCTTTTCCATTACCTGCTGGGTCTGTAATACCAGCTACAACATGTGTATGATTTCCTGCAGTTCCACAGAAAATACCTGTGCTAACATCTTTGGGGTCAGTTGTGATATCATATCTGTTCATTCCCTGTCTATCCGAACCCGCTGCAAGATTTGTATAACCTCTTTTTGTTATTGAATGTGAATGGTTTCCTTCCACAGATGTTCTTCCACTGAACCTATGCATATGTGAAGGAAGGTTTTCAATACCTATTTTCTTTGAACCTCCCATCTTCATTGACTGCGTATTAGTGTAGAATGGAAAACTGTCAACTATTTCATACCATCTACCACCAAATAAAGTGTTTGGATTTATTGGATTCATAGACGTATAAACAGCTCCTATAGGATATATTAAATCATATATGCTCATAACTCTATAAACATATTCTAAAGAACTTATGTCATTAAATACCATTTGGAATGTATCTCCCGGATGAAATGTTGCATTTGTTCCACTTTTATAATGTAATGTTAGTTCAATAGAATTATCCAAGAAAAATTCAAAAGTATCTGGTTGAAGACCTCTAACAAATTCAAATGGAGTTGCTGGTTCACCATTTATAATTTCTGTTGTAAATGTCATTGTATCTGGTTTCGAAAATTTCTTTGTTAGTTCTGCATCCACATAAGTTTTGTCAGCTTTCTTATCTAACATTGCTGGTAGTTCATGTGCTTCAAAGTTTCTGACATGACCTTCAATGTTCATACATTTACTATTTAAGGAGTTTAGTGTATCTTTTACGCTTGTACTTGGATTCTCTAAAGGTGCACTTGAACCAAGGGTATAGTTCAATATTATGTCGTCTGCTCTAACAGTAGTGAAGGATTTATGTGTATGGTTCTTGTCGGCTTTACTGTCTAAAGAAGTTTGAAGTTCATTTATATCGGAGATGTTGTGTTTATGAGATTTCAAAACTTTGTTCGTTGCTTCAAGTTCAACTTTGTCAGCTTTACTTTTAATAGCATCTTCAAACGTTATTTTTGCCTTAACTCTCAAAGTAAATCTTGGTTCAACTAATACACCGTTAACATTGAAAGTAGAGGCATAAATTTCACCGGTATAACCAAATGCTTCTGGTGCTTTAGCTACATCATACTGTACAGTACAGCTTATGTCATAACCTTTAGCACGAATGTATTTATATCTTCTTTCATTAACATTTTTTGTCTTCGCTTCATCACTTCGTGTTAAATATCCATGGTAGTCCGTTATAATCTGTTCGTCTGAAGTTATATAATGAACATGGTTCTTGTCCGCTTTACTATTTAATGTAGCTTGAAGTTCATTTATATCGGAGATGTTGTGTTTATGAGATTTCAAAACTTTGTTCATTGCGTCAAGTTCATTTTTATCTGCTTTACTATTTAATGTAGCTTGAAGTTCATTTATATCGGAGATATTGTGTTTATGTTCTTTATCTGCTTTTTCGGCTAATTTCTCTTCTATCTCATTTATTTCAAGTTCATGCCTACCACCACCTCCCGAAGAAGTATTTTTCTTCAGCTCTTGAAGAACGTCCACTTCGCCATCTTTGGTGTCAATAATGAGACTTTGAGTTAAAACCTTTCCTGTCTTAATGGATGTTTGTAAAACTTCTTCTTCACCGTGTTCGGGGTCATGGTCGTCATCATATCTTGTGAAATCAGAGATGTTGTCATACATTAAGCATATCTGTCTCAAAAGTTCTGCTATTTGAAACTGGAACGAAAGATATACAGAACTTTCATCATCTCCTAAAGTCAAGTCTGCTTTCTTAAGTATTTCTTGAATGTATGCAATGAGAACAGAGTACCTTGGAAAATATTCGAACAATATTTCATTAGCTGTTGGTTTTGGTTGTTCTTTGGAGTTTCTGTTGTTTCAGTTCCTTCTGTAGGTTCTGTTGGAGTTTCTGCATCTCTTGACTTCAATGCTCTTGCTCTCAAAGACCTAAATGTTAGAGCACCAGGTTTTACAAAGGACTTTATAAATGCTTTAATAGTTCCTGGTAAGTTATTGTTAGCATTAAGTAAGTTCCTTATGCTTCCATCATGTACGTCCATAGCACTATGTAAAAAATCTATACTTTTCTTGTAGTCAGCAATAGACTGACTGTGATTTTTTAAAGATTTGTCAATACCTTTAAGCCAATCTTCATGCATGTCTGATACTGAGCCAAGAATATCATTTGCTTCCTTTAGTGTACTTTGTGCTTCTCGTAAAGTATCCAATCCCGTACGTGCATTGTTTGCTATACGTCTTACAGTATCTATTTGACTCCTTGTTTCTTGCATCCAACCAGATAAAGTTTTAATAGTATCCGAACCATTTGAAATGAAGTTCAAAGCATTTTTAACGTCATCTAAAACTTGTTCACCAAGTACTGCCCATATCTTTCCGATTTGGTACTGAAGAACTCCATATGAAGCAGCTGTTAAACCAGTATTTATAAGGTCCCATATCCATGATTTAGCAGTTTTTCCATCCTTTCCATCCTTTCCATCCAAACCGTTTTCGCCTTGAGGTCCTTGTATTCCTTGTATTCCTTGTATTCCTTGTATTCCTTGTGGTCCTTGAGGTCCGGTGTCACCCTTCTCTCCTTTCAGTTCATCTTTATGTTCGTTATAATATTCTAATGTCATAAGGTGTACATCATTACTGCTACCAGCAACGCCGAGAATTTGTTTCTCATTCATGACTAAATTCTTTAGGCATTTAATGTTGTCGTCAAATCGAAAGCTCTTTAACAATTCAATGAGAACATTCAGTACTTTCACTAATGAGGCATCTACTGTAGAATTTATATATTGCACCGTTCCATCATTTATGATAGGAACCTTGCTTGTTGTAATGAATGGGTCATAAGTGTTAAAAGTATCGAAATCAATGACTTTTTTAGTTTTTCCATCGTCAATGACTAAATCATTGCCTTCAATGGTTAAAGTTGAGTTTTCGTTTACTAGTTCATGTGCTCTTCTTGCTTCATTTGTTTCATACGCATATGCAGCAATAGTCATATTTTAATGAGAATAAAATTGTTGTTCTATTTGCAAAGTACAGACCCAAACGAATACGGACAGTAAAGCTTCAAACAAACTTAGGTCTTCAGAATGAGGCGCTTGCTTTCAGAGTTGTTGACTTCAATACTATCGCAACTTTTGTCATAACAAGATGAAACAGATTTCATAGAGATTGAAATAGATGACAAAAGAAGTTTTATAACATTTCCTAACAGAGCCGAGTACAGAATAGATAAATTGCTGGAGTCATAGGTACTCTCATAAATGAAGAAACTATTGGCAACATAGATGTCAATCTCTTCTGAGGGAACATTGAAGTTCAGTTATGCGAAAGGAGTTTAAGAATACGAATGAGTCATAGAGTTCAATTGCTTCTGGGAGCATACCATATGCAACTACCTTTGAAAAGTGTTGACAAAACGATTGAGATGAAATCTGTTCCATACGTATGTTATGGCAACTGTTTGTACATTGAGTCAAAAATAGCTAATGTCACAGGCATTTCAGGAGTTAATAGTAAAGGTTCAGTAGAATATAAATCCTTCTGTTATGCAGTCAATTCAATGTTCATTCCAAACGTTCCTGTCATAGCAACTCATTTAGGTAAATGGGTTCGCATTAGTCTCATAATTTGAAAGACATGCAATTCAGACTTGTTGACTTTCAAGGAGAGCCTGTAGAACTGAAGGCACCAGTGCGAATGACTGTTGAAGTTGACTTTTTAGAAAATATTAAATGCAACAGCTTACAAGAGAACTCAGAGCTAAAAATATAAAGTATGAATGTTATGTATTAGGTCATGAACTTTGGTTGTTGCTGTTTGATGAAACAAATGAGTTAGTTATGTCAGTCAAGAGAACAGAAAAAGGCGTCAAGGCGCCGAGCGCAAAGCGCTATATTGTGTTAGTGAAAACTGCACCAAGTCAATAAATTAGGTTTGCATTATGAAGATGAGTTCGATACTGTTGAAGAAGTTTTGGATAATATTACAAATTGCTTTAATTTACTAAAACATATTTCAAGCAAAGTTTATATTCTGTTGAAAGTTTTGTATACTCGTTCGAATATTTATACTAACTCAACTCCTGTAGTTCCTGGTGTTTCAATGATGCGGATGTTACCATTTTCATGAATGGTGGAGTTTGACCACAGCATTCGATTTCAGGGTCGAGATAGTCAATGACACATTGTTCCCTGTTATTCGTGATATAACATTTTCAAGGTCCTCTTTGTTAGAATTATTTGGTTCTTGCTTATAAGATTTACCAAAAGCTTCTTATCGTCTTTGAGTAAAATTGTATAACTGAAGAAGGTAATGGTCTACGTTATCTGAAGGATTTGTTTGAACATTTGTGTAAGGTTGTCGTTGGCTTCTCTTGAAAGAATTTGGTCCAGTGGTGGATACTCTAACTTAACATCTGATGTAGCGTTAGCGTTTGAAGCTGTGTTTAAATTCACGGATTTCAGCTCTGGTTCTGGTTCTTTCAAACACTCTGAACTATAGTTCTTTATGACAATATTGTTTGTCGTTCGTGAGTCAACATTTGATGTTGGTTCAATTGGAACATTAACGGCACCAGCTAAGATGGATTTGCTTCTCATTTCATATAGAATAAAAACCTTTTATATGTATGAAATGAACAATATACTCGACAAGGGTTTGAATGTAAAGCTAACGAATGAAAATATTGTTGAATTCACTGAGACAGGAGCTGTGTATAAAGATGTAGAACTACTGAACAAAAGAGCTAAGGGAAGAAGCAGGAATATGAACAAAGGGTGGAAGCCTATAAAAATTTATGTCAATGATGGCTCAGGAGGTTCAAACATAAAGTATGCAGAAAGTTATAGAGTTTATGCTCTCAAAGGTGAAAAGCCTTCATTTAAGAACAGCTATTCTAACGCATATCCTCAAAAGCTAACGGATGGAGAAGTGGATGATATGAATGACAGCAAAAATATTAACAGAAATGGCGACAGAGATGCATGGAATTTGTTTACCATCAGTCAATTGAAGGTTAAGCTTTAAAATAATGTTGGTCGTTCCCATGGAATATTTTTGACTTTAATGGTATTAGTCATGATATGAATCTCAAGGTATGAACGAGGAGAGATGAGAGACTTATATGCTTCCCAAATTTCTTCAAAAGGTAATGTTATACCTGACTGTTTCCAAATGAGTTCAATATCATAACGTGAGAAACCTTGAAAGATAACGAAGTCAGTTATGAGACGTTTTATGTTTAAAGCAAGGAAACACCATGTTTGCATAAGTATTGCTACAGTTAAGTGGTAATGTCTGACTTTAGTTATGATGTTAGCTAATGGTGAGTCTGGTTTTGACACTAAACCTTTTCCGGCGAAGTCGTCGCAAACGAGCAGAGTGTTTGAAGGATACTTTTTGAAGGGGTATTTTGAAAGTTTTGATAGAATGTAGTTTGTCAGTCGTTTCATATCGTAAACTCCTGAGTACTGACGTAAGTGGTGTTTGTCAATAATTCTTTCCATCTCCTCAGAAGTCTTTTGCATTCCTGACTGTATGAACTCTACGATGGCATAATATTTCCTCTTACGTCGAATGTAACGTTGAAGAAATTCAATGAGTTCGCTATCTGGAACTTTAACGACAGAGGCTTGAACTTTTGACATAAATGTTTTCGCTGTTGAATCCATAGAGTCTGAAGTTGCTGATATAATGATTTGGTCATAGTAAGAGTCGTTTCCTAAACGTTCTGTTATGAGTATATGACGAATGAGGTTAAATGTCTTACCTGAACCCATCTTTCCACAATAGAAATAAACACCATTTGAACAGAATTCATAATCTTTGCTGAAAGGAAGAATGAGAGAACTGTTGAGCTTTTCACTGCTTTCATTCATGTCTTCATCTACGTCATGTATTAAATGCTTCATTTTATCTCCATTAAAAATGCAAGTCAGAAATATTCAGAACATAGCACCGAGTCTAACTGACAAGAGTATAAAGATATACTATGAACATGTTATGATGAAACCAACCAAAATTCAAGAAAGTCAGTATACTTATGAATATCCAAGGCACTGGGTAGAGTATGTAGGAGGTGAGAAAGCTATTGAAATCAGACAGGTTCGAAGTATTCCAGCAGGAAGAACAATATTATTGAAGAACTTTAATGTTTTGAGATATAATGATGAAACAAAGAAGCAAGATAGTTTCCCTGTTGCTGTGTATGTGAACCTAGACACAGGAGATGACATGAAAGTTTTTAACACAAAGCTTCAAATGGTAGTGAGAGAACAACTGACTGCGGAAGGGCATCCATTACCTTCAGAAGTTACCATAGCATATAATTTTGAAACAAACTCAATAGATTTTAAAGTCATCTCTGCAAAGAAGTCAGGTTTTACATTTAATGAAGCAGATGTATATTCGAATGAAAACTTCAAAGCTATTGCATGGTTAGATAATGACGATTGCTTTAAGAAAATATTTAAATACAGTGACTCAACGATGTCAATAGATGACCTTCGTGGAATGTTACCATCGACGTTTACAGTTGAAGGCTCAGCAGGATTGCTTACAAGATTGTCAATTGGTGGTATTTGGTCTCGTGAGAACATTGTTATAAAATCCAGTATAAGTGAATTTGCTGAAGAATCTATATTATGTCTTTCAACTACATGTATTCGCCGCCGAAGCATTATAGTATAACAAACTTTGTCAGTAAGTTTAACATAAGACTTGTCGAACCTTCTTCAATGAAAGATGTTGTGCTACCCAAAGACGGAAAGGATGGACTCATTATTGAGATGATTTTAATTGCATATTAAATGAGCTTGTTCTTGAAGGTCATTCATGATGAAATAACTGTTGTAGAAGATGTTAGCAATTGTTCAGACATTTTGAAGCGTATAGATGATATAAGAAAGAAGTTAGATAGACCGCAAAGCGGTGAGGGCGAAGCCCGTGAGAACGCTTATGTTTCATTGACTTTCTCCAGTAACGAGAACTTTTATGAGATAATATTGAAGAGAGATGATTTTAATATGGGGTAAATGGTAGCTTGGGCAGCTTTAGGCGCAATGGGAACAAAAGCATTAGCATTTGGAGCAAAAGCACTTGGAGCTTATGACGCAGTAAATAAAATGAGTGGAGGAAGGGTTTCGAAGACATTAGATGCAAATAAAGGAAAGATTGGAGGCTGGGTTGCAAAGAAGTTAAGATTAAATAAAATAGGGCTCATAAATAAAGCATCCAATTTGGTTGCGACTGAGTCAGAAAATGCTTTAGGAAAGGACGATGAGTTTGCAAAACACGCAAAAGACTTTAATGACCAGATGAAAGGTGAAACAATGCATTTAAATAGAGTCGATGGAACTAAAGAAAATGTTTCTTCTCCACCAGTAGTTCTTCCGTATGGTCCCTATGGAATGTATGGAAACCCTTATGAACGACCATTTGACCCATTGACTGGTGGAAGTAACTGGTATCATTACGGACGAAGAAGAAAGACAGTCAAGTTGGAGACAGACGTGAAGAAAGCAACTAAAAAGAAACCAAGGAAGAGAGTTATAAAGCAATGAATTCAAGTGGGTGAAAAAAGAGGTGAAAAAAGAGGTGAAAAAAGAGGTGAGATCTCACCACTTCACCTAAATTTATTTTTGTGCTATGTTTTCATATGTGTGGGAGTGGTGATATCATTATTTTTTATTTTATTTTTAAAATTATTTTTATTTTATTTTTATATAAATGACGAAAACTATTGAGATAACAAACTACAACGGTCATGAGTTCAAGAATTTGTTCTTCGTTCCTCGTGAAAATACATTCTATCAGATACGAGGGAGAAAGGGTAAAGTTAGTTTGAGCGTTTATGAAGGAATGAAGAATGGAAAGTTTATACAAGCATACGATACAAACGGTAAACGTGTTTCATTAGCTTTGTCAAAACTTACTAACATTTATTTTGACAGTGACTTTGACTCTGACGATTGGAGCGACAGCAGCGATACTGAAGAATATGAACTATTGTGTGAAGCACAGCAATGGGAAGAGTTGCAATACTTTGTAAGTGAGAACGTTTATTTTTACAGTAGTGAAGTCGTTTGTGAAAACATTAGTGAGGTGAAGTGGTTGGCGGCTTTATAAATATTTAAGGTTAAGTTGGTGTTTGTGTTGTAAAATATACGTTAACGGTTTTGTAAAGTGTCAAATTCATAAGTATTGCGTACGGAGGAACGCAGTGCCACAGTACACATGATATGTATACTAACTAATAAATCTGTTGTTTTATCCGAAATATTTAGGGCTGTACAAAATCGAGAAAAACATTGCCGTGCGGTAATATAGGGTCAAAAAAAGCGCGCCTCGGCACTATTAAGTGTGCATTATATTTAATATGTCCTTCTTTTTTTTTCTTTTTTCTTCTTCTTCTTTTCCTTTCCTTCTTCCTCTCCTTCCTCTTCTTTCCTTCTCCTTCTCTTTTTACAACAACGTCGAAGATCTTCGAATTTGATTGTTGGAAAAGCATCTATTTCAGATAAAGGATGCCTTTCTCACAGTCAACATACGAGGGTCCTGGCTGAAACGTTCTCAAAAAGCCTGAGATGGTAATTCTCTGATCACTCATAGCTGGGCAGGTAGTCATTGCTGACAATACCTGTCTTTATGCATGCACGCTTTCATGTATATGGGTTTACACTATCAATTCGCAAAGTTGTTCCGAATTCTTCCAAAACGGAAGGACCCGAAACAACTTTGCTTGTTAACGATACAGACGCATTACTTTGCATTGATACTGTGCTGAGTTGTGTAGAAAGTTTGATTAGAGTTGTTTTGTTCTGGTATCTCTCATCTTCTGATGAGAGAAATCAAAGCAACACAACTCTAATGAGTTTGTTTTCACTCATTTGTATGTAGGTTTTTAGTTCGATTGGAGCTGCTTCATAATGAGATCTCTCATCAATTGATGAGGGAGATCATAACAAAGCAGCTCTAATGTATATGCTCGTATTAACCGGGTTGTAATGCGTTGTAACGTCAGCTTGTAGTTCGTTTGGGGCCACTTCACATTGAGATGAGAAGAAATGATTAAAAGACTCTGAAAGGCTTTGGCCGTTGATGTTGTAATCGCATTACTTGGAACTAGCTGGATGCTAAGCTGTGTAGAATGTTCGGTTAGAGCTGTTTTGATATGATTTTTCTCATCATAAGATTGGAGGAATCATAGAAAAACAACTCTAATGGGTTTACCATCATCTACTTGTATGTAGATGTTTGGGAAATTGTCTTGTTAATCGATTTTCGAGATGACTTTCAAATGCTATAATCAAATGACAAACAAGTCTAAGATTTCTCGACAATACATCAAATCATGATGTTTGTAAGTGCGATGAGATTAGAGTTTTTGAAGGAATGACAAGAGAAGTAGGGAAGCTCGGCATTCGCCGAGCAAATTAAAAATTAACGTATGGATTAAATTTTAAGAGGAATTCAATTTTAATTACGGGTTGTTCAAATATTGATTAATATAAATTTATTAATAAGAATAAACAATTTTTGTTTTTGAATTTATTCAATTTATAGCTTTACATATAGTTTCAAAATTGTACAACTATGATTATTTCAACAAAAAAATATCTTACTTTTTCACTTCACTTTCACCCTCACTTTTTCCGTAATTCAAATTTCAACATTATGTATTTTAATTCCTTATAGTATTTTTAACATAATTAATCAAATAATAATTGGAAGTTCTGAACTCACTTTTTCCGTAATTCAAAATCAAAAATATGAATAATATATCTATTTATTATATACTAATGCTATTTTCAACTAGAAGTGAGGTACGGTAATCTTACGGATTCCCGTAACTCAATTTTACGGAAAAAGTGCAGTAAACTACTCAATTTACGGAAAAAGTGTCGTAAACTATTGATGTGGCGGTAAAATCACGGTAATTCACGGAAAGCTATATGCGAAAATTTGAAATTATACAAAATCGAGCGAAACACTTTTAAATAGGTTGTTCTCGTATTTCAAATACTATTCCCAATTTTATTGTCGTCAGAATATTTCCAAATTTTTGCCGATTTACAAAAAATGATTTACAAAGCATATTTTTTAATCTAAAAATTTCCTAAAAAAAGGAACCGGTGTGCGGAAATCTCGGTAAATTACCGCGGTTCCCGTTGGGACTGCCATAGAAATATTATTTATTTTTCTGTGGTAATTTGTTGGGTAAATGGTCTATGAATTCGATGAAGTTTGTGACCTTTATGATTTTGAAATTTTGGTTTTGTAATTCCATAATAATGGTCTACTTGACTTACTTTATGATGTTTTTGAAGAACAATGAGCACATTTTTTCACTTTTCACAGTACGAAATTTTGGTTATTAATTTATTGATTTGATGCTAGTCACAAATTCTCGAAGTGGTCCAAATCAGACGTTATCAATTAAATTGAATGTAACGATTTGATCATAATATTACGAAGAATATTAATAAAATAATAATAGTAGGACATATTAATGTTTTTATGATTGGATGCCTTATCAAAAATTGAATATTACACAAAATCTTTTTGATTCATTTTTGAAATAGACATTTCATGGAAGTCGACGATTTAAGTTTATACCGTACTAAATTCTCCGCAGCTGAGGATGAATTGCTTAGGAAAACAGTCCAGAAGTTTGGCCCCAGGAAATGGAATTCAATTGCTAAGCATATACCAGGGAGAACTGCTCGCCAGTGCAGAGATAGATTCCAGAACTACCTTAGCCCAGATCTTATCAATGGACCTTGGACACAAGAGGAAGATCAGCTCCTAATTCAAAAAGTAAATGAATTTGGTCCATGCTGGTCTAAAATTAATAAATTCTTCGTTGGTAGGTCTCCAAATAACATTAAAAATAGATACAATACACATTTAATAAAAATCAAAAATCAAACCAAAAAGCACCAAAAGAAGCTAGTTACAAAAGTCCAACCGGTAGAAACACACGAAGGAACAGAATTTCATGCAGAAGACGTTCTTACATCCAAGATTTGGGACGAAATTAACACTCAAGATTTCTTTTCACCTAATTTTGAATTGCTCTGGTTTGAGTAATAGAATAAACATCTTTCATCCTTTGTTTTTATTAATTTCAACTTATTTTTTCTGAATATTAAGTGTTCGGGACTTATGAAATCCGATCTGAATATTGAATCTATTCAAAAAATTGAATGTAGGCCAATTTTTAGGTCAATTATAGAATTGTGGCAAAAACGATAATTTTTTCAAATAAACCAAAATCCATTTTGATTAGGAACAAATCTAATATTGCTGCTTACTATATTTTCCGAAATGGCAGAAGCGTAATAAACCTATCAATTTCAATGAAATAAAATTTTCAAAGGTTATTTTATCAATCGCTATTTTAATTTAATTCCATGTTTTAGCTATATCTAAACACAATGTAGGGCCTAATATTCCAAAGTTTTAATAATTCAACCCGTTTTTATCCATTTTTTTTAGAAGCATGGTATCAATGTTCAACATCATATAAAATCGTCAAGGAAACAGATAATTCCTTCCGATATAATAAGACAATCCAATTTAGTTACTTTTTATTTCTTATATTTATATTTCATTTTCTCATATTAAAATCAAAACATTGATGACAAAATTATATAAAATACTTAACTTCTTTTCTTCAAATGCATCAAACATTCTTTCATATTTTTATATTTTTAATTTCAGAAATTTAATTATTTTTAATTTGTCCTCATTTTCGCAAAGAAACACAAGTTATTGCAGCATTTAATCAAGTTTCTATTATTCAACTTAATTTTAATTTCAAAATGAAAATAATGCTGTTTTACAATGTCATTAGCTTAATCTTATATAAGTTTAAGCATATATGCTAAAAAGTATTAGATTGGTTCATTATATTTGTGAAAGTTTAAGGCATTATTTAAAAAGATGAATGTTGAATGAGTTTGAGCTTTAAAAAACAACTAATTTTTAGCATATATGCTTAAACTTATATAAGATTAAGCTAATGTGTTGTAAACAGAAATTCATCAAAAGTGACACCTCAGAAAAGCTAAAATATTGAATTTTTGGAACTTTTGATAGAGCACGTTTTTAAATATTAATTAAAGTAAATGTATATTTTGTAAAGATTCTTTTTAATAAAAAAATAAAATTTTGAAGAAGAACACAAAATCTTCTGAAAAATAATATCACATAAACTCATATTATTTTCTAATATATAACTATTTTATATAAAAATCAAATTCAATGATCTTAAAAGCGAAGGATAAACCTCAAAATTTACGAATATAATGAGTGGGAATATAATGCTTATCTATCATAAAACCATATGAAATATCAATTTTTGCTTTACGCCTAATTTTTGACGACAATTAGCAAAAAATGTTAAATGTTAACACTCAGTCCATTTGAATATGAAAAATAAAATTGACTTTGATTAAATGTTTTTATTTATCATGCAATTCTTCTTGCGACCAAAGATTTGAATAAAAGTTCAAAAAATAAGATAGCTTAAAAAATAATATACGGTAGTGTTTACTAATAGATGAATAGTATATAAATTCTATTAAAATGGATTTGATCCAAAAAATATAAAACCAAAAATAATTGTTATAATTTAAATGAAGAAGTAATTTAAAACGATTTTATTTATGATCAAATTTTATATATTTTTTGGATCAAATCCATTTTAATAGAATTTATATACTATTCATCTATTAGTAAACACTACCGTATATTATTTTTTAAGCTATCTTATTTTTTGAACTTTTATTCAAATCTTTGGTCGCAAGAAGAATTGCATGATAAATAAAAACATTTAATCAAAGTCAATTTTATTTTTCATATTCAAATGGACTGAGTGTTAACATTTAACATTTTTTGCTAATTGTCGTCAAAAATTAGGCGTAAAGCAAAATTGATATTTCATATGGTTTTATGATAGATAAGCATTATATTCCCACTCATTATATTCGTAAATTTTGAGGTTTATCCTTCGCTTTTAAGATCATTGAATTTGATTTTTATATAAAATAGTTATATATTAGAAAATAATATGAGTTTATGTGATATTATTTTTCAGAAGATTTCATTCTATATGCCTATGAAAAGTACTCTCAAAACTAACTTTTCCTAATTATAATTAAATCTAGAATATTGTATTATGCTTAGTATTATTTCATTTTTCTCATTCAATTTAGAATTTACAAACGTCAAAAAATTGAGAGCTGTCACTTTTGATGAATTTCTGTTTATTACAACTCCAGCAATTTTTATCTATAATTCCAAAGTTTTGATATTGTCAACCATTTTATTTATGATTTTTGAAACAAATTTTCATTGGATATGCTTTCATACAAATTTTTAAGCTTTTTCATGTAAAAACTTTGCGATCCGATTTATCATGTTCTATATCGTGACGATTAGAAATACTTCTTTTATAATATTGAGTTCTACACCACAATATGTAATTTCGAAATTTTTCTCAAACTATAAATTTTGAATAGTTTATTATCAACGTTTCATCGTATGATAGTTCTCATGTAGTACACTAATATTATTTATTAATTTTTTAAAAAATTTCCATTGAATTTTTCATGTAAAGCAACAGAAATGTTTGACATCTTTAACGATGATACATCAAATAATCAGAATAATTTTACCACTCCTCGCAATATAAACTCTTTCATTTCAGATCCTCATGCAAATGAAGCTCCCGCACAGACTCATTTTGGAAGTCAATACAAAAAATCGAAATGGACACCAGAAGAAGACAGAGCATTGATTGAAAGCGTTAGAATTCATGGAACAAAGAACTGGATTGCAGTGGCAAATTTGGTTCCTGACAGAAATTCGAAACAATGCCGTGAAAGATGGACTGCGCAGCTCGATCCATCATTAAATCACAACGAATTTACTCCTCAAGAAGATGCCGTTATTATCCTACAGCATCAAGCCAATGGCCCTTATTGGGCAAAAATTGCAGCTTATCTTCCTGGGAGATCGGCAACAGCTATTAAAAACAGATTTAATTGGCTTTCTAGAAGACATTTACCACAAAAGATGAACAAATTTTTCCTATCCGGTACTACTCCGATGGAGCCATCGTCTTCTTCAGGAAGCATGTCTCCACTCGGAATAGCTCCATTTGCATTGTCCGATCCATCAGTTTCGCAGATGCAAAAACCTCAAGAAACCGAACCCCACACAGACGTTCCTGATGACATTTTCACACAGAGTTTCTTTGATAATCAAGAAGATGATGTATTCAATTTTTAGAATTTTGCATTGAGGGCATCAAAATTCATATTTTTCTTTTTCATGTATTTATTTGTATGTTGATCTTATAAAACACTTTATAAAATTATAATATATGCTTTTGTGTCTTTGTTAACAGTCTGTTTTCATGTTTTATGAATATCTTCGACATTGAAAAAGTAGCGCTCGTTCTGATTTCACATAATAAGCTTAGCCACAAACTATATGTTCTATTTTTGCATTTTTGATCAAACACAAGACTTAAAAATATAGAAATTGAATCAAATTCTCTAACATATAAATAATGGCTAAATCTATCAAAGTGCATTTAAAAATATAATACAATCCGATCAAATTTAACATAATCAAACGTTCAATTGCTTGGAGTATCCAAACAAAAGAATTGATTTTGAAAAAGCTTGAAGCAACGGACTCAAAAAAGTTAATAACTTCGTTTAATACGAGTTCTGTATGTAAGGATTGTTTCATAAAATTAAAATTCATGCAAAATATAATTAAATTTTATTGCTTTTATCATTAACCTCAGATGAGAGTAAATTTTGACATCATACGCCACAAGCAATGAATTTATGATACCGAAGTAATCAGAAAAATACTCAAAAACCTTCAAAAATTGTTTTTATTTCAAGTTAGTTTTCTTCTCATGCAATGAACAAGATGTCTAAAAATTATTAAAAGAAATTTGAGATCATATCAAATGAAAAATGTTGTACATTCAAAAGTTCATCACAAATTTTACAATAAAAAAATCTACTATATAAAATTGCTTGTTATCAATGATTATTCATTATTTTTAAATTTTCTTTCCCAATTACCAAAAAGCTAACGAACCCTATTTCTTATATGTTTTGACGAGTAGTGTTAATACAAAATATCATTTATCTAAAAACATCAATATTTCGTTTCAATTTTTCCTGTAAAGTCTTCAAAAAATTGAAGAAAATTATAACAATGTTGTATTAATATTTTATTTTGTTGCCTGTAGCACATTTTCAATATAAAAAATAATTGAATTATATTGAAAACTGAATATTCTAGAATAAATACTTGACATTATTTTTTATCGGCGAATGGAACAAGATGAACATAAATTCTTCCTTTCTCAAGGAATCCAATTTAAAAGATTAATTGCGAAAGGTGGATTCGGTGTAGTATTTCTTGTCTACAGCAACCAATATCAAAACAATTTTGCGTTGAAAAAAATACCAGGAAATCTTTTTAATCAATCGGAGCTTGACTGTTTGATTGCAATCGATGATCATTCTATTGTGTCTTTATACAATTACTATAAATACGGAAAATTTGTTTATCTTCTTATGGAATATTGCCCTTTAGACTTGGCATCAGTAATTAAATCACAGTCAAAAATCTCAAGCGTAGACAGACTCAGATATATTCATGATATGGTATTATCTCTTAAAGCTTGTCACGATAGAAATATTGCACATTCAGATATTAAGCCATCTAACTTTTTCGTTGATCAATACGGACGCGTCAAGATTGGTGACTTCGGTTTTTCATCAATTTATCGTGAGAATCCATCGAGTATGCAGTTCAGAGGAACAAGATTGTTTATGGCCCCTGAACTCTTTTATTCTCATCCATATAACCCATTGACTGCTGATATCTGGGCATTAGGGGTTACAATATATCTCTTAGTTACAGGAAAATATCCTTTTTATTCGAATGATTCTGATAATTTAGTTCGTTTGATTACGATTGGTTTTTATTCTACAAAAGAAATAGACGACAAGAATCTCCAAGATTTAATCGCAAGGTGCCTACAGACAAATACAAACAGCAGAGCAACTGTTACTGAATTATTGTTGCATCCTTATTTCAACCCATTCAATACTCAACCAGTCAAGAAACCAATGCCAATCCCAATGTCAAAGTCTCTGCGCTCTATTTCTACAAATCCAGTTCTTCCTCTTTTACCTGTAGCAAAATCGTTGCTCAGAATGGGTGTTGTTAGAAATAAAGGTCCAAATACTTCAAAGCCTCCAAACGCAGTTCATTTTGACTTGCCTACACAATAATTTTTTTATCATATTTGTCTAATTTTCTATATATTGTTTGTTTTTAAATGAAATATTTTCATTACATCTTTTCTATTTATGTTATACCATCTAACATCTTATAATTTCTAAAATTATTTTATAAGATGCTTTGAAATCATAACTTGAAGTGATTAAATAGTTTTATGCTTAAAAACATTGATTCAAAACCTTCTCACGTTGATTTCTTGGTGTGTGAAATTACTGTGAAAAAAATATCAATCATAACTCAGATTTAAAGGTAAATATCAAACATATACAAGGAATACAAGCTGAATCAAATATTCATTATCAGATATTTTAGTGAAAACTTTCATTCTCTAAAAATAACGTATAATTTTTGTATCTAGAAAAAAAAATTATGTTTGAAAATAACAATGATGCTAATAATAATTTCCCTGAAGAGGAGCAACATGCTGAAGAGCCCCTAGAAGAGGAGGATTTAGATTTAGGCGAAGAGGAAGATGATTCGGAATTACCACCAGATCATCCACTCATTAAAAGGCTCCAGGATGGTCTGAAGAAGCAACTTCAAAAGGAGAAAGATAAATTAGATGTTGAAAAGAGAGATAAGCTCGCTCTCAAGAACAAGCTCTCAGAAGAACGTGAAGAGATTGGTGTTCAATTATATACTGTACAACAACAATTAGCAAAACTTCAAGCAAAGTTAACCGATGCAAATGAACAGCGCGCACAATTAGAAGCACAAAGAAATGAAGAAACAGAACAACTTAAACAAGCTCGTCAAGAATTAGAAGACGCGGAAACAGAATACAAAGCAAGCGAGAAGGAATACGAATCGCAACGTGATAAGCTTGACAAACTTAACGAAGATGTTCTACGTTTGGAGAAGTCGAATCTTGAACTTGCAAGCCAAGTAGCAGGAACACGCAGACAAGCATATAAATCAGATCAGTCTGCTTCTGAAACAGAAGTCACAAAGAAAGAGCAAGATTTATACATAGATCGTCTTACAAATCAAATTAAAGACGTATCCGGCCAAATACAAGTTATTGAAGCCCAAATTAATGCTCAGAGATCAGAAACTAAGCTTGCTCAAGACGCTCTTCTTCAAGCAAACCATGAAATGGACCTTATCAAATTTGAACACGAGAAGTTAGTCCAAAGCTGGATGGAAGCTATCGTTGATATCAAGAACCACACAAAGATGCTTGAAAAGACTGAAGCTCTCGCTGCTTCCGTTGAAGAGAACATCAGATCTCTCCAGAACGAATACGCCGGCCTCAAAGCCCAGATTTCTGATCAGCAAGAGCTTAGTGAGCGTAACAGACTTCTCCAGAACAAAATCAACAGCAGATTGACTTATCTCAAACAAAAGATCGAACAAACCAAAGATGCAAGAGAAAAAGAGCAGGAACAACTTACAAACTTATCATCTCTCATCAAAGAGAAGGAATCTTTGATCAGTCGCCTTCAAATTGAAAGAAATGCCAAAATGTCAGAATTCAAGCTCAGCCAAAAGGACACAAACGGCATTTCCAACAAAATCCATGAAATCGAAGGCAAAATCCTTGAACACGTTTCGAATCAGTCAGATTTAAAGAGAGATGCCTTGGCTACACAAAACGAAGTCCAAAAACTCCGTGAACAGATCGAAGCAAAGGACAGAGAACTCAGTGATATCCAAAACGAAGTTATGAGACTCAAATTCGACAAATTAACTTTGTCAGATCAATGCCAGAAGGTTGAACAAGGTTTAGCAGCCATTGTCGAGGAACTCCAAGCCAAGGACAATATTATCAGCCAGTACGAAAGCCAAATTCGTCGTAACAACGTCGATATCGAAAAACGTCAGAGTGATGTCGACAAACTCAACAGAAAATACGATGAACTTACATCAGCGCAAAATGGTGAAGAGTACGGCCCACTCGAACGTAAGATCAGACAGATCCAATCCAAGATTCAATTATCTGATCAGACAACAGCCGAAAACCAAGCAATTTGGCTCAAGAAACAGACAGAGCTTGTCGCATTGGAGAAGTCCTGTGACGAAATCCAAGAAGCAAACACTTCGCAACAAGCTCATATCGCAGTTCTTTCGAGAAAACGCGATAGAACGCGAAACCAACTTGCAGCAACCGAGAAAGAGATAGAGCGTCTTAATATACAGATCAGACTTCTTCAGCGCGAGATGTCCAGACTCGGAGAACAGCTCAGCGCGAGTGTCGGAACAGGAAACAATTTAATTGAAGGAAATATCAATTTCGAAGCCGAAATTTTGGAGAACTTGAGGAAGAAAGAAGAAGAATCCGCGAGTACAGAGATGAAGATCGAAGAAGTTGCCCAGCAAAGAGAAGATCTCGCACAAGAACTCATGGAAACAGAAAGAGCAATCATGATGTGGGAAAAGAAACTCCAACTGGCTAGAGAAATGAAAGAAGCTTTGGATCCAAATTACGGAGCGAGCGAACTGAAATCCATGAAGAAAGAAGTCTCAAGAATGGAATTAAGACTCTCACAAATCGAGAAACAACAAGAAAACATCATAAAGGAAATGGAATTCGCTCTTTTGAGAAGAGAAACAATTGCAGACAGAGGAGCAGTTCAGAAGCGTCTTAACAAGGATAAGACAAGATCAGATGTCACTAAAGGTATCACAGCATTGAGAAGACAGGCCAAGTCATTGAATGAAGAAACAGCTAAATACGATGAATTGATTCAATCTGACACTGCCGCACAAAGAGATATCGAAGCAGAAATAGAACAGTTGACACATATCATGAGAGAATCTGAACAAAAGAAGGCTGAATTAGAGGCACAGCTGAAGAATGAAGAAAACGCAAAGGCAGTCGCACAGGCGAGATTGGAGAAATTGCACCAGAAGAGTAGATATTTCCAGGCTCAGGGTGCAAAGACTGTTTTGAAGTCTCAGGACGCGTTCGAGTCTGCTTTCCAGAACGTAAAGAACCAGGAGAATCAGTTGATTTCTCTTATTGATAATCTCGCTCAGGACTTCCCTCAGTTGGCTGAGAATTTGAAGCTCATCAAGGAAAAGGTGACTGCTGTGTAAGTTTTTTTTTATTTATATTTTATATCAAATTTAATCAACTAAAAACCAATTTTTTTGTTTCTTAAATATTCATATATTTTTCATAAGGAAATGATTAGAATCAGGTGGGATTTGATAAGAAGCTACTCGACTCTCACCAAATTGAAACTTTTTCGAAGAGCTTCTATTTGTGAGTTTCTTTAGGACTCGAGCCTTCTAGTGGATCTCAGATCTTGTTATAGTTGCATGAACATTTATTATTAGTATGTATCTTTAGGGACTGTTTCTCATTTAATATAAACTGTAGTAAACTATGCGCTTTTTAAATAGATAATCAGATTTGTTGTATTTCACCAATCACCCAATGCTAAACAAACATTTATATGTCCAATACAAATAATCTGATTCATTTTAGTCCAAATAAAATGTTTGCCTTTAGAACTGCTCATTAATTATTAGCTATGGAGTTATTACACAGGTGCAAGCAATTTGTATGAAGGATTACAAGATGTAGAAGTTCGGTAATTAGGAGTAGAATTAACAGAAATATCCATTCATGTTAAATGGAAATGAGTAGTTTCCATGATGAAAAATCAGATTTCTCTGATTGAACTTAATATTTTCAAACAGATATTGCAAATTATTCTACGACATTGAATATAAATGAGTGATAAATTTTTGAAATTTGTAAGTTTTATGAAACAACAAAGAATAGGGGAGAGAATATTTGCAACAGCTACAAAAATCAAAATATAAGATAATATTATATGTAATTGCAAATACCAAATTGGAGACTCAAATTATCAAAAAGGTAACTAAACTCCTTTCGCCGATCCGATTTGCCCCATATTTAAAATATAGCTTGCATATGTAGAAGAAAAGCTAATTTTGAAGTACGCCCCAAATCCACCAACAGGATTTCGAGCTACTAAAAGGGTACTTTTAAATGTGATTTTTTTTATAAAAAATTAAATTTATTTTAAGATCAGACTAAAAACTAATTTTATGGAAAATCTATATCGACAAATTTATTACTTATTGGGTATATAGATTTTTTTGATTATGGCGATTATGTCTGATATGCTTCCAATAAGCCAAAACACATTTCATACTGATTTCTATAAAAGGTATCTTTATTATAGAAGTGTAAGCTATATATGTTTGTTTTTTATTATAACAAATTCAAAATTCTCTTATAAGGACTAGATGAAATCTGTATTATTAAATCATTAGCTAAATGAAGGTTCAAATAGAAAGTAAATATCAATTTATATGATACTGAAACCAAATAGTTCTTTTAATAAAAGATAACACGCTGAAAATTATTGAGTATTTGCAAATCTCAAAAATCTATTGGTGAATTTGGCTCAACTTTTAAAATTATAACATCCATATCAAATCATAAAAGCAGACAAAAATTAAAGCCAAACCTATCGGCCAATTTTTTTTTGATATTTTGATTTTTGAGGTATACTTTTAAAAGTGGATTTAAAGCACTGATGAAAAAACATTAACTTCTGTCGTTATGATTATTGATTTAGACAATAATGATTTTAATCTTTGATTATCAAAACACTAAAGTCATCTTTTTAACATTTGCTTGGTAGCATTAACTCAAGTCTAAAGTACTATTTTATGTTGTACTCTTAGAATTTTTGTATTCATTGTACACGCTGAAATAGTACCATTAAAGTTATGGCGGACTTTCAAAAAATAGTTTGGTCACCTTTAATTATCAAAGGAAAGTTTTATACTAAGAGTATTTTTTGATAATTCTAATTGCATTAAGGTAGAAATTTTTGTACATACCAAAGATAACTCTCAAGTATATGAATTTTAATAAAGTTGAGACAAATTTTGTCTTGAACGTCAAAACATAAAGGAATATTGCGTAATTATTTTTGATTTGAATGGCTTTCTGTATGAAGAACATGATAACGGCAATGATTAGGCTTAATAATAAGAATGCTTAAAAATTAGAAATAATTTAGAAAGAAACAAACAAAATGTTCGAAATTGATTGAAAAGTATAATTTCATTTCATATTATGATAAGTTTCATCCATCAAAGTTAAAATAAAGTTGTAAAATTATCAAAAGAAAAATTAGTTTGAATTAATTGAAGATTCATTCAGCCCCACCATTACTCTATTCATACTACTCTAAACTAAGAGTAGTTTCAACATTACGAAAGGACAAAAGGTGTCAAGGATTTCGAGTATAAAATTTTTGAAAAAAAAATCATAAGCTTATTTCAATTTATGTTGAGTATCAGAAAAACAATTCAAATGTTTACACGGAAATAATTTCAATGTAAAAATATTTATCTGAACAATTAACCAATTTCATATTATATATAATAATACACCTTGCTTTTGATGAAATTTAGGGATTAGTTTTATAACAATAAAAAATTTGAATGCAATGTATTCAATTTGAATTTAAAATTGAATAGATATAATTGAGAAAATAGAATTATAGCTTTTAGTGATTAAATATATGTATGACTTGTCCTGATGCGAAAAAATTTTAAACGAATAAAATTTTCCTAATTGAACGAAAATAAACTTGAATAGTATATCTTTACTGACTTTATTTTCTTAGATATATCCAAAAATCCATTCCATTGAAATAAATATTTCGAAACTCTTTGAGTTTTTTTGTGAGGATTTTAAGCTAGTCTTATTAATTTATATACATATGAAAGAGGCCCCTTTTTTATAGCTCGCCCATAAACCATCTCCCAAAAATTTCTGAATAAGCAATTTTTAACTTAGTTCCTAGCTTCTATTATATCATCTAATTAAGAATATCAAGAAAAACAATACGCCAAATAAGTTTTTGAATGCCATTCAAATCTCGCTTTCAATTTGTATAATGTAAATTAATTTGAAACTTTCTTATAACACCTAGTATAATAAAATTTCAAAATATTTCTGGGTAACTTTAATATAGCTGCAAAAATTGAGGGCCCTTTACTGATTTTTTAATATGATTTGAGGGACCTCAAACAAATATTTCTGAACATCGACGATACAACGGTTTTCTTAGTAAATTCAGCTGTAAATTTAAGTGATAATGGACCGTCAACCGGCTGATGATATTCGACGCTATCATCCGTCACCTCAAGAGCAGAGTATTTTAACACCTAATCTAAAGCTATATTTTTCATATCCAGAGAGATCTCCAGATAGGAGTAGAATTTCTGCTGAAGTTGCTGAAGAACTCTCGAAATTTTCTAATCATTGGACAAATAGAACAGTAAGGTTATGGTTTAATAATAATAAAAAGCTTGTTGGTAACGAAAATAAAGAATTAGTTGACTCCGGAACAGAACCAGAAGTTAAAAAATCCAGTGGACAAAATGACAGTCAGTCAGAGGGTACTTCTGGCGCTTCGATTGGAACTACTGAAATGCCGATGCAAACTAATTCTCATACAAATGCACTTCGGAACCTCGAAGATGAAGCAGCTTGGGTAGCATATACAAGTCCAAGAATGCAAGAAATCGTAGCAGCTTACAATTCTATCTGTTTCAGTGATCCAAGTACGGCTACATTCTCATCTCTTAAATCCGCCAACTACATAGAATTTCCAGCACCTCCTCCTCGTATTTTACCATTTGCAATTAACGATCTCCTCAATAAAAATGACATTCAAATCGATACTTCCATATGGAAAAACCGCAATTTCCGATCAACGCTTTTACCACCACACGAAGCAAATTGCATTACCAATGGCTACGGAGCTTACGTTTCAATGGCTAATGATACAAATAGTCTCAGCTATACAATACATCCAGAATTCTCCACCGAATGGAAAGTCATTCAGTTCCCTTATCCAAATAAAATAAATTCAATTACCATAGGTAAGAAAGGTGATCCTGCTTGGATGGTCTCAGGAAACACAATTATCCGTATCGCCCTTGATACAGCTCAACAGAACATTGCTGCCTTACCAGTACAGACATTTACCGATACACATATTGCCACCGGCCACGGATTCGTTGCTTTCGTTTCGAAACAACATAATACGATTTTCTTTTCCAACGACACGATGCAAGTCTATCCTGTGCAGCTTTCAGTTCCTTATACGGGTATATCGAATATATGCGTACAAGGGGAGAAAATAGTTTGCGCGCAAATCAAAAGTACAACTTGTAGTCTGTTCGACCAATCAGGAAAAGAAATCAGGCCTTTTATCGGCCACAGAGCACAGATATCAGAATTCAGTAGCATTTCGGAAAACATTTTTTGTACATGTTCGTTCGATAATTGTATCAAGATATGGGATGTTCGAGAACCTAGATCAGTGGCAACATTCTTCGCGGGTGGGCCTCAACCAACGACTATTACGTCTAGCACAAATTACATCGTGTCTGGTTATTCTGATGGAAAGATTCGCGCATTCGATATTAGACATAAACAGGCTAAAGCATGCTTGGGAGTCGATTTGAACAGACAATACGCTTCTACGATATCGTTTAACGATAAACTTGATGCCTTATCTATCTTTACTTCTTCCGGTGAAGATGAGGGTTATTGGAAGGATTCTCCCGACCTTAATTATAGATTTACTATTCTTTCACCATTTATTCGCTTATAAATATTTGTTGTTTTTTTTTTCTAGATTTGAAAAAAATATACTCGCATTTTTTACATCTTTTGAGAAGAATAATCTAATTTCAAGTTTTCATGATATCTTATCTCATGGAATTAAATTTTTGAGAATTTATTTTTTCAATTCACAGGCTTAGACTTTCGAGCTTATGTTTAAAAGTAATTTCATAGTAGTTTTTCACGTTGGGTTATATCAAATTCATTGAAATTTTGATCCGATATATTGGAAGATAACGATATCGCAAAATTAATATTATAAATGAAATATAGACATGTTGCATATGACAAATAATCAAGATAATTATAGATTAATCCATTGGTTACAAAGATTTTTCAAAATTTTCCCCTATTGGATTGATTTGAGCTGGTCTTGGATAGGACATGCTTCATATATGGAGATACCGAATATAGCTTCAAATATAATTAAATATGAGAATGATATTTTGATAAAATATTATTCTTGACCAAATTAATAGTTTTACTGGTTCAAAGCTAGATAAAGTAGACAAATTCAAGAGACTGTGATACAATGATATCAATGCAAAATACTTTGAATGTTGTTGATCAAATCTTTTGAAGGATAAGATGCTTTTATGATATTGATCCTTGTAAGAGGAGGAACTTTGCCAAATGACCTTGTTTTGTATGAAACAAATATAAATGAAGCGGGTAAATGTGGATTGACTCCTCTTCATTCTGCAACAATGAATGGATGATATGCAAAATCCGTTGCCATTATATTGCATAGACTTGACATTAATTTTCTTTATAAAATTCATAAACCTTGCGTTTGAAATTCATTAGCCTTATTTATTTTATATTTGAATGAAATACGATTTTTGTAAATTCCCGCTGAAATCAGAGAAATAAAAAAATGAATCAAGGAATGAAGGCTCTTTTGGGTAAAACCATTAAAATTGGTATGTATAATGTTACCCTTAAGGAAAAGATTGGTGAAGGTGGTTATGCATGGGTTTTTCTTGCAGAAGATCAACAAAAATCAGTTTATGCACTCAAATACGTTAAATGCGTCGATATAAATAAGTTTAATCAATTCAAGAAAGAAGCTCAATTCTTACAAGCATTACCAGAACATCCACATATCGTTAAGATTTTTGCAGTTGATATAAATGAAGTTGACATGTCAATTAAATTCCTATTTGAATATGCACCTGCGACATGTATCGGAATGATGACAGATAGACCATTAAGTGAGCAAGAAATTTTGATTTTCTTCCACGCAATTTGTGATGCAGTTGCATTCTTACATTCAAAAAATCCTCCAATATTACATCGCGATCTCAAGCCAGAAAACATTCTTGTGGCACCAAATGGAGTTCCGAAGCTTTGCGATTTCGGTTCTGCAACAACAAGTGTTTTAGTTGCAAATGATCCATCTGAAATCAACAGAATTAAAGACGATATCGATAATAATACAACACAGAGCTATCGAGCTCCAGAAATGATCGATCTTTACAATAGAATTCCGATTTCAACACCAGCAGATGTTTGGGCTTTAGGATGCACCTTATACAAATTAGTTACTCGTAACGAAATGTTCAAACCCGAAGATACATTAGCCATTCTACAAGGGAGAATTACAATTCCTTCTGGCTGCTCACCAGCATTTGCCCAAACAATACAAGCATGCTGCCAGATCGACCCATCCAAGCGCCCTACTGCAGCCCAAATTGCTGCTTCCGTTCTCAAAGCGAGAGGTCCAAATGAAAGAGTTACAATTCCTCCGAAAAACTCTCACCAACACGAGCCAACGATCGACAATCCCATTTTCGGATTCTTCAAGGAATCGTTCAGAACAATTACCGCTCAAGGACTTGAGAAAACAATTATAAAAGCGACATACGGAAACGATAAACCTCCGAAATCGAAACACGTTCGCAGGTTGTTACTTTCCGCCATCAAAGAACCATATTCCACCAAGGCCATTACTAACTATCTTCTTGGCGAACGTCCTTGGTCAACAGATCCTCGTGTTGCCGCAAAAGTTTTGTACACAATTTTGATGATTTTGCAGGACCAATCTAACCTCAGCGCTTTTGTCCCAATCACCGTCAAAACAGATGAAATCCTCAACAGGTACTCGCAGAACAAGATCGGTGATACATACCATACATCGCTTATAGCAATAACTCAACTGGCATCGATAATTAAAATCAAATTGATGCTTCACGCCGCTCATCCAGAATTGGAAGGAAATTTTGTCATAAACGGCCGAACTGATGAACACTTGAAAGATGATATCAAGAGATACTTCTCAAGTGTTGTAACAGCGACAAGAGCAATGATGGAAAACATTAATTCAATGGATTCATTCTTCGCGGAAGTTATCTCTTTGCCTTTGCTTAAGGAGATGGCATCAGCAGGATCATTGATGAAAGTCTTGGACTCATCGGATGATATGTTGATGCAGGCGAAAGATGTTATTAGCAGGTCTAAGAGGTACGATTATTTATCTTCTGCCTTAACAATTGACATGGACCGTCCTCCTAAGAAAATATTTGTTTCGTAAAATATAATCATTTAAGTATATAACACTAAAGGATTTATGTATTTCTTCATTAATTTTTTTTATTTCACTTTAAAATCTAATATTTTCATTTTCATATGATCACATCTTAATCAGATCGTATCTATTGATTATGCTACATGATATGAAAGATTATTTTCATTGTACAGATTGAAATTCTTCTTGGTATCTTACAAACAAATGGTTTACTTATTAGTACAAAAAAGTATATAAAAAAGAATACTAAATGATGTCTGATATCTTTCAAAGCATGAAGGAATGTCAGAAAAGGTAAGTGTAGTAATAACCAATCGACCATTGCCTTGCCAGATACCTGGAACGTGATGAACATCAGTAAACAAATATTCTGAATTATTATCAAACTTATATGTATCAGAGCCAAGTTCATTATAAAACTCATCATGGTAGTGGATCAATATATCAGGAATAACGGCATCTTTAGTTAAAACCCAAGAACTGCCGCCTCCACAACCTGAATTATATTGATTACTTGCAAACCCGCCGAACCAGCCGGCTCCGGCTCCACATTTATCGTCAATAGAGCTCTGTTGTTTAACACCATTAGGATGCATAGAAATTTGAAATTGTGCTGCTTCTCCGCTTCCGAAAGTAAATCCAAAACTCGAATTTGCAATATAATTTCTGACGTAGTTACGATTATCCCACCATCCTTGGGCAACAAGACCACCACCTGAGCCACCCCGACCATCATTTCCTCCTGTATCATCAGATCCACCACCAGCGCCGCTGACTATCACGCGATGAAATAATGTGTTTTTCAAAAACTTCACAGATGTTGCTCCACCGCCACTAGCTGTACCAGATGGAAACGCAGAAGAGCTTCCACCGCCGCCATAGCCGCCAGGAACCATCGTTCCGGGTTGAAAACACTCAATTTGGCGCATACAGGAGCTTGTGAAATAACTTCCCATACCACCGATAGTGGCGTAGATTTGGATGGGTTTACGGATACTAACTATCCCGCTAACGTAGCCGCCAGCACCGCCGGCATCGAATGAATCAAGGCACTTTGTATTTCCGTTGAAGTGGTCAACAAAATCTTGGGAAAGGCAGACGCCATTCTCGTAGTGAAATGTAGAGACTTTGCCTGTCGCGCTCCCGCCTGAGGCACCATATAGCTCGAATTTATATAATCCTTTAGGGAGGTCAATGACATAATCGGTACAATTTGAGGAATTAACACATGGGTAATCAAAAGTATAGGCAGGACCCCTTTTCGAAACATTTAGAGGGTATTTAACGACAATACCAGGTTTTTCAGGCTCATATAAGGAATATTTTAGCATTGGAGCTTATAACAATAGTAAAAATCAACTTCAAGCTAGATATAACTGCAATATTCTGAATCATCTTCTCCGAAGGCAACAATATCATGTTGACCAATACTAATTTTGGAAAGAAATACAGAAAAAATTCGAACCCATTTAGTGAAGAACCTTTCCATGATCATTGAATTTCCATACATCTGTAATTTGATATGAAATTGATTCTGATTTTCAACAAAAAATACTAATGTATCATCTATTTGGTAAGAAATAGGATGAGTTACTGATTTATAGATTCCAATCAACATATTTTTTAAAAATTTGGTATTATTTTCTTTTATCTTACCCACATCTTAAGCTAAAAATATCTTGGGTATAATGGACATTCTATTTATCAAATAATCAAAAGACAACAATTCTCATGAAAATTAAAAAGTGACGGTTGGCCGACCTTTTCCAAATGGGACATCTTAAGGGTAAGGAACTCATCAAAAAGTCACGCCAGGAACTCCTTGACGAACTCGCCGGCCTCGAGAAGAAGCTTTTCGAGCTTAAGGGCCAGAAGGCTGCTTCCGCTGCCGCTACAAAGCTTACTGAAATCAAGAACACACGCCGCGATGTTGCCCGCGTTAAGTCAATCCTTATGGTTACACAGCGCAAGGCTCTCGAAGAGAAGTACGCTAAGGCTAAATTAGTTCCAATCGATCTCCGCAAGCATCAGGAGAAGTCACTCCGCAACAAGCTTGCTCCAAAGTATGCTAACAAGCTCACAGCTCAGGAGTCTCGCCGCCACAAGTGCCTCTTCGAACGCAAGTTTGCTCTTAGGGCTCAGTAAAGTCAACTAATATTTATAATTACAGCCATTTATATTAAATTAAAATGCTTCGAAAAAAGTTGTTACTTTTTTTCAATAATTAATTATGACTTCTACTTTTTTTTAAAACGCCACAAAAATATTTTTGAATTCTTCATTAAAATTAGGCTTACATCTGAAGGATTCTTACTTTCATAGCCTATACATTATGATTTTTAAGCTCACAATCTTATTTGGAGATCTCATTTATGAATTTGCTTAGATCTTACACCTAGAAATAGACATCGATATAAAGCTGAGTTTCTATTCAGATATCTATATGTTTTTGGCTATCTTAATTGTTCTATCTTTAATTCTGACATAAAAATAAATTCTATTTGCTAAGATAATTTTTAGATGAATTCACGCATGTTTGCTTTAAATAGTTTAAGTAATCTGCTGAGTCATATAAGAACTTATCTTGTCAATTAATTTTTTTAGATTTTTTTAAATTTCACTTGTTTGGATAAACTATAACAATAAAAATGGTAGTAAGCTTCGCAAAACATCTAGTTTAGAAGATATAATGTTTTATAAATAAAATTACTTCAAAAAAATGATTAATTCAATAAAAAAAAGAAAAAAATGATATCTTAGTAAAGAGCACCAGGACGAGCATTGACTGGAGCTGTACCGATGCGCTCGTTGAGCTTGATGCGGCGCATTTCCTTTGCGACGGATGCCTGAGCTTCGGCGAGTTCCTTCTCGAGATTTTCGATTGCCTTCTTCGATTGGCGAAGTTCAGCAGTAGTATCACGAGAAACTTTATCTTTCTTCCTTCTCCAGATCTCACGGAAGCATTCGCGCTGCTCAACCATCTTCTTGTCGAGGTATTTGCGGTTGAGATTGAATGCGCGAACAAACTTTTCGTTCTGTGCTTGAAGCTGCTTCTTTTCTAAGGCTAAAGCTTGCTTGCTGAAGTTGTCTGCATCATCGTACATTCTCAGCCTGGCTGCCTTGCGCTGTCTCTCACGAAGATTGAGAGCATTTGCACTGAACTTGGAGTATTCGAGAGGAAGCGACTTTGGAACATGGGAACCGTATTCGAGAGATTCGGCAGCAATTTTTTCTTCGAGCTCTTCGGCAGCGGCGGCTTCGAGAGCTTCGTATTGCTGGCGTTGTGTATGAACTTGAAGACGGACGTCGTTGTAGTGCATGCGGGCTTCATCAAGCTTTCTCTGGATTGCTTCAACTCTCTGGAATCTTGGGCCGAGACGGCGGGAATCAATTTGATATTCGTCAAGCTGATCCATAGCCTTATCATAACGATCTGATGACTCGTAGTTGATTCTAGAAACCTTTACGGATCTGGAATTCTTAAGGAGTGGCATAACTTTTGGACGAACGTTTGGCGGGACTTCAGCGGTCTTCTTGCCCTTTGCCATTTCTTTACGTGTTGGGTTGAGGTCGTGCTCTGAAAAGTCACGTGTCTTGACAAGCGAGCGAGTACGGGTTGTAATTGGATCTTCTGTACCATCGATTTCGAATTTATCTGGACCATACCTTAATTCGCTGATGAGTGTTTCCATCTTTGCAGCAGTTGCCTCCTTGCCGTGAAGAAGAGCATCCTTCCTGCGAGCTGTTAAAATTGTAATGACGTTTTGGGTCATGTTTGGAGGGATAGTATCGCATTTTGCACCTCTCATGAGTGATTCAACAATGTCGTCGCAGTCACGGTCGGTCTGGAATGAACCGGTGAGGGAGCGAGCTCTCAAAGCTCTTCTCATGTTTAATTAATACGTTAATAAGGAACGATTAAAATCATTTCAAATTGATAACGTTTTTTTATTTTCCTTATTTTGGAGCTGTTAGGATGGAAATATAGGATCTAGACATGATTTGCATTGACATTTTTGAGTTTAATTAAAATTTCAAGAGTCTTGATAATTTTGACAAATCTGCTGCATCGGAAATTCAGTTAAGGGAGCTTTTCGTACTATATCGGACAGAGTTACTTTGCAAGATATTAATATCATGAAGCATTTTGGAAGGATAATCACGTTTTCACAGAGATTTCACTTGAATTTTCTCATTACTCTACCAATATAAGGAAAATTTCTTTAAAACTTGATCGACATATGATTTTCAGATCAAATAACAAATATTAATACGAGTGGAAGTTTTTGGTGATTTTGTCACTTTACAAAATTTAGATAGTTTGTGCTCAATCTATTGTTTGTGATTTTTTCTGCCAAAGTCGTCTTTTGTATTGACATTCTTTTTACCACTTGTATCACATATTATATAGATACAAAACAATGATCATTTTTTTTTAATTCATAATCGTGAATAAGGCTTTGCTTATGGATTTATCATTTAAATGCGCCAGACATTAATAAATCAGACGAAAACTTGATATCAATTACTACTCCTCAAGAGTAATCAATACCAAGAAATATTTCAAATTGTTTGAGGATATATATCTCCTAATTTTAAATATAGATAACACAATTTCTTTGAATAAAGGTTTAAAACAAAAATATATATGATAAGCTTATGTGAATACCACAAAGTTGGAATACATTATCAATTTCTGAAAAAAAATTCATAAGTTAGTTTCAATATCTTAGTAAGAACTTAATTATATGAATAGGTTTCTAAATCCAACTAATCTTAATTACATTCCATTCGAGATAATGATTTTGTATTTCTAATATAGTTAGATGTCCTTAATATTGCATATTCCAGATATTGTGATCCCATGTATTGGTATTTACTAGGAGATTATTGCAGTAGAGACTAAAATAATCTGCAATTTTGAAGATTTTTCCTTCCGCTATGTTTTTAATATTGATTTAACAAATTCCAAATCTATGCAAGGAAAAATAATAGAAACATAATGACAATCATGCAACCGAGTCAAATTCAGATTCAGCCAATATAAAATAGAAGGATTTTAACATTTAGTTTAATTTGTTGACTCACAAAAGTCAATGCTTATAATTCCGATCATTAAACTCATAATTAATGTGAGTAAAACCGAATTGAGTCATCAATTTCATGGATAAAGCAAATAAAAGGTGCAATACAGACTGCCGAAAACAGGCATGCCATATGTATCACTCTTCATAGCATTTTCTGACTGTGAGAATATCAAAAAAATAGTAAAGAAAATTGTGTTGATTGAAAAATACGTTACATTGTGTTTTTTGAGTGATTATAAATTATGACTTTACGGGCAGAGCAATTTTGGATAAAAGGACCACCAGCTGGTCTCAGAGAGAGTATAATTGGCTCAGGCCTTGTTAAAGACACGAAAATCACTGTTCAAGCAAATCCCAAAAAACCAAAAACAGGCCAGATAAGAATGTCAGACGAAACGCTTCACAGATTGAGTGCTACCAAGACATCAGTCAAACCTCGCAGAAAATTATCATACACAGCGCATTCGGTATTAGAACCAATGGAACAAATAAGGGGAGAAATCAACACCTCTCAAAGCTGTCGGTTTGCTGAGCCTCCAAAACGTCAACCACCCGATGAACAATCACTATATCCTTACCCTTCTGAAAATGTCTTAATTTCAAATCATCAAAAAACTCCATTTGAAGAAGCTTTATTAACAGAAAAAACCGCAACAGAAAGAGAGCAGTCTCAAGACCTTCTAAAGAAATTCACAAAAATCCTAGACGAGCTAGAACAACAAAAACATATGAAATTAACTCCGACAGAACAAGCTGAAAACTATAGCAATACATTAAATGCATATTACTTACTATGGAACGACATTATTCTCAAAATTAAAGGCTACAACAAAGACTATTCGATGATGTTAATTCAAATCAAAGATTTCTTCCAAGAATTGCTTGAAAAACTTCCTAAACTTGCTAAATCCTATGAAAGGAAGCTTGCCGACATGCAAGAACAACACAATGAGCTAAGAAAAGTCATTGATGAATTAAATATCAAAAATGAAGAACAGAAAAGAGACATAGAAGCAGGCCAGGACAAATTCCTCAAAATGAATAACAATTTAACACTTACTAAAAAGCAATTAGAAGTAGAAAATGCGGAAAAAACAGAATTATTAATCAGAGTTGATGAACTTAAACAGAAAACTGATGAAGCAACATATCGTGTAGGCAAACTACAAGAGATGCGTAAAACTCTTGAAGGAAAAATTGCTGAATACGTTACAGAATCTGATGATTTACATAATCAGATACATCAATACGAAGCTTTAGTTCAAAAGTACGAAGATGAAGGCGCAGGCTTCAGGCCAATGTACACAAAAGCCGTAGAAGAGCTCAACGAGCTAAAGAAAAAGTACGAAGACTTAAATACAGAATTGAATGAATATAAACTTCACGAAGAAAAAAGTGACATCGGAACCGATCCAATTTGGTCGATTTCAGAACTTACAAATAAGAAATCTGATGCCGGAAAGAAAGGAAGAGCACGACAAATGTCACTTTCTAACAAACATCTTGGAAAGAAAGGAGATATTAATCATTCGGTCGATTCTTTCAGACTTGGAGAGATTTCAGGGTCCAATTCTACTCTCAACAACGAGAATCTCAAGCTCACGGCTAATGATTCAATAGCAGAACTCAGTAGCGATGGAAGTCAGATTTTGATGACAGATTTACAACCAGACAAACTTCCAAAGAGCGCTACGATGTCATCTGGTGATTCTAAACCACAAACACCGCTCAAGCAAACAACAGATCTCAATAAATCCTCAGAATCTATCAATTCTGTAAAATCTTCACATTCAAAAAGTGAAGACAAAAAAGTGCCAGAGAAAGAAAACGAAAAAACAGAAGAAAAGAAGGAAGAACCGCAGAAAACAGAAGAACAGAAGCCAGAAGAGATCTCAGAAGACGCAGAAACAGATGATCCAACTTATAATGTCGTAGATAGGCTCCCTCCTGAATATAATCCAAATGATTTCATGATTTCAGAAGCAGACTCAATGGTAACATACGTTTATACATTGCTACCAAAGAAATACGACGAATACAATATCTATGCCGGTGCAGATGCGTTCCAATTGTATGCTATACCAAAAGATGTCCAGTTGAAGCCTTTCTCGTGGACATTGAGGAACGTTATCATGATACTAAGAGATGGATTCGAACATTTCACATCTCTTTCAGATGATTTAACTTTCAAAGCGATTATCGAAAATGTTCTCATGCAATCTCACAACAACGACAACGTTGTACGAAGAATCGAAGCTTCTCTCATGACATCAGTTGTCCATTTCAGAAAAGTTTCAAAAACAATGGACTTTTTCATCAAATTCGTAATTGGAGAGTTTTCTGTAACTAATTTCAAGTTCTTTAACATGTTATTTAGCTCAGCATTCTCTAGTATCTATCCAAGAGTCGAAACAATTACGAATGATCCAGATATTGAAGAAGATGTCAATGCTTTTACAATCCATCTCTCAAATTGTAACAAGCTTGCAGGAATGTTCCTCAAAACACCGAAACTTCCTAAATCCATCGCTTTGAAACTGATGAGAACCGCTCCAGACCGAAATTACCCATTAATGGTCTCTTTCTGGGACTTTGCTACCGAGATGATTTATCTGTTCAACATTATGCATAAGAATTTCCACACTTCGATCCGAAATTGCTTCAAATTGGTCGGAGTAGGCGATGTAGAGAAGATTGTATTCGATAACTTCATTGGTTTCTGCTTGATTATTATGCCTGATTCGACAGATAAGTCAATCAAAGAACTTTGGAAGACAATTTCGCTGACTGTTGGTGAAATGAACGCTTATTACATTGAATACCCGTACATTTTACAGTACTTCGGAGAAAACCAGACCATTGTTGAATCCATCCTCGGATTGCCAAAGAATGACCAGTTTGACCAGATGTTCAAGACCATGGTTCAAAAAAGTGACAGATTATATCAATTTATGAAGAATCGATATATTTCTTACATTCCGAAACTGAAAGCAGCCATTAAACATGATTTGCTCCAGAAAATCATGAAATACATTTTTAATATCAGAAATCAGATGATTAAATGCGATTTAAGCGAGGCGTTCATGTTCTACAGACATATCTTGCAGACAGTTGACTTGTCAATTACTCAGGCAAACCCTTATTACATATTCCCGCCTCAAATGTCTCCAAATCACGTAGAAACACTCTTGACTTCTGTAAAAGCAAGAGAGAAAGTGGCCTATTTCGCAGTAAATGTAGAATTAGGCGAAGATCCGGATAAACCAGATCCGAATGCTGAAATTGATCAGTTACCTACTGAAGAAATTTAATCTTTTAGCATTACCATTTTTATTTTATTTGTTTTATATATATATATTGTAAATTATATTTCGTTTTTTTTATTAACTTTTTTTTTCTCTTTCATTTGTTGATTGCAACTCAAAACTAAGAAGCTAAAACATATGTCAATGCTTTAAGTGTTTCTACTGATTAAATTTTGAGATTTGGTTAATTATTTTTCGAATCCTATGACATGTATAACCTAAAAATACATTATTGCATGCATTAGTAGTATGTGAAATGTACAGATGCGTATTGACTCTATATAAATATGATGCAATTTCGATTTGAATTATCTTTATAGTAAACATATAAAATTACATTTATGAATACCATTAAAATTGCGCATAAATTCAGAATTTCAATTCTTAACCTCAATTTTTATATAATTGACGAGACCGCGGGCGTTAATCGATAAGTCAAAAATTTGAAGACTGAGTATCAGATTCTCAATTGAAAGATGAATCCTCTTTATTATTGAATATCCAAAAAGAGTTAGAAGGGTTGTATGGACGTAATCTGGTTCCTTTTCTTCTTTCTCAGCTGGTTTGTCTGTTTGCGATGACTCAATTGATGAACCATCAACAGCTATCGATTTGGCATCAAACCACAGCAAATATATTGAATTCGTGAAGAAGGCGATTGGATTTATGAATAAACTAACATCTTTTAGAATGACGTTGACACCTTTATTCTTGAATTGAATATGTTCATATGAAAAAATGCCTTTCTGTTCTTGTACTTCGGCATAGCTGCTGAGAATGGACTTGACAGAAAATTTAAGGATGAAGTATATTAATACTGCTATTAAAACTAATATAATTAGCTTTAATAACATCGAAAAAAAAAATTAATAATTTTTTTTTATTCCCAGCGTTCAAAAAGAAGGCATCTGTCATATCGAACATCATATAATCCTAAAGAAATACTCTCTATTTATACTATATTTGGCCCATTTTATGAACAATATTGAATTTAAAATTTGATTCTAATCTGAATCATCTAATGACATGTCATACAAACATATAATAATGCACAATTTGTCATCAAAATGAGGAATTTTCATGAGGTAAAAATAATTTTTCAATTTATGCAAATCCTTTGATATAAAGTATATGACTTAATTAGAAATTCGAATGACAAAATTATTTGATATCAGAATTCCAACAACAAAGAAAAAAAAAAAATCAAATTTTATAAAGATAGGATAAAAAAATAACATTTATTATTTCCTATGTTTGGCATTTTCTTTAACTGCTTCTAAGAAGGAGTTATAGAATTGCCCAGACCACATATATGCATAGAAAGTTGAAGTTACTCCATTTTTGTTTGCTTTATCTGGATTAGCACCCAATCTAAGTAACTCTTTTACCATATTCATGTTCCTGTTCTTAATTGCAGGGAAAAGTGGGAAGGATTCAGATTCATCTTCAATGTTAACAATTTCTCTTTTATAATCATCAGGAAGTGCATTCATGACATACTCAAACGCTCCTGGGATTGTTGTTTGGGTAGCAATTCTTAATGGATTCAATTTTTCCGGTTTAACCTGTTTTTTCTCTATTTTATAATTAGCATGCTGCATCAAAGTGAATTTGGTTGCATCGTTATTATTTAGAACTATTAGAAGTGGCGTCCAACCATCATTTGTCACATTATAAGGTTTTCCTTTCCATGATTGAATAATTTCTTGAAAGAACCAATTGTCTTGAGCAATGCAACTAAGAATAAAGCAATCCCGCTTATTATCAATTTGATAAAAATAATAATTTTCTTTTCTGGAAAATTCAAAGATTATTGGTTTTAATTCGTGTTTATCCTTGTTCTCTGTTGCAAAGTGATCAATTGCACCAGTAATTTCTGCGAAAAACTGTGTTAATCCTGCATCTATACAAATCTGAAGATCTGTGACAATTGCTGTCTTATACAACTCAACATCATTCTCTGCAATCATTTTTAGCAAACGATTTAGCAATTCTCTGTTGTTTTTGTCGATACAATAAGAAATTGCAGTCATTTCTGTTTTATCTATAGCAGTAACATTCAATTCACCAACATTTATTGGAGCTAATTCTAATTTCTCGTGATTTTCTTCATAATTTCCTTCATCATCAGGGAATAAAATTATTTCCCTACTTTTCTTCAATTTCTTATATTTAAATATATTAAAATCGTTTCTCATGCATGAGTTCATTAAAAATGTCATATCATTTGCTTCTTGTCCCATTGAAAAATCATATGAAAAATTTTTCTCCAAAAAATCCTTCATTTTTTGATTGTTTGCATTGTAAGCGACTATAAGTGAATCAATCTTTTGTAAATTGTCTAAAACTATTTCCGGATAAATTTGATACAAAAATTTAATGAATTTGATGTTACATGAGTTAATTGTTTACTTTACAATCAATTCTTGATCAGCTACATTATTGAAATAATTTTTTGGGATGTTTTCCATTAAAAATTGAAACATTTCTAAATTTCCGCATTCGCAAGCCGTGTAAATATACTCTTTATCAATTGGCTTGATCTCATCAATGATGTTTTCCATGAGCATTATGTTTCCACTTTGAATTATTATTGGAATTACTTCTGGAGTGATTACGAAAGGTGTATAAAAGTTATAACTTAATACTGCTGCTTTAATATCTAAATGTACATCGTCATTCTCTCGTAAATAATGGGAAAACTCGTTATGATGGCATTTTATTACCATTTTAACAGATTGAATATCTCTAATATAATCGTTATCAAGTAAATTGCTGATACTCTTTATAATGTCTAGATTCAAAGGTACTAAAGCGAGTTGAAAAACTTTGTACCAAATTTCTACGTCATCTGTTTGATTTAGTGCAATGATGTGCTTAATTATGTTGGTAGATCCATAGTAAGCTGCATCTGCTAAAAATTCGTAAACTAATTTCGGATTTGGATCAAAACTTAAGAAATCTTCAACATTATCATTAATTATTGCACGTTCTATTGAATCTTTTGGTGGTAGATAGATGTCATCTTCAAATTCCCATGAATTATATTTATCAGATTTTGAATCAAGTTGTAGGCCTTTTTTAATTAGGTAACTAATCAATTTGTCGTAGGTTATTGCTGATTGTAATGTAAATATATCTCGTTTCCCATTTTCGAATTGTAATAATTAAAACAAGCATTTGCAATCTCATTAAACTTCTTTGGAAGGGAGAATGACAGTGAATCTAAGATTCTGTAAATTGAAAAGCTGTGATGTATTTTTGATTGTAAAAAATCAACGTCATAAGTCCATAATTGTTCTAATTCATTAAGTAGTTTTGTATCTAGAACAAAAGCCCCATGCGTAGATTCTGTTTTATTGTTTGCATTATGTATGGGATCCATGAAAATTACGCCACTTTTATATCAAATTCTTATTTGAAGAGAAAAAAGTCGGAAAAAAAGTTGTAATTTGAGGTTGGTTAGTCATTAAAATGCCTTAAGGTATCTCTCTTAAGATAATGGGATTTCATAGAAAATGATTAGCAAACAATCAACAAGTCTGTTATGATGCAATTGAATTTTGTTATTATTTTAAAAGTTTATGTCTATGAAATAAAAGATTACAAATTGTAAGTATAACTTAAGAAAATAAAGAGATTTTTAAAATTTATATCAGAAACTACCAAATAAAAACATTTCAGTAATTCGCAATTAATCAGATAAGGATCAATAAATAGTGCATTCATACAGTAATCTTTGATATCGCTTATTTTTTGACTTTTTATCAAATTTTCGGATAATAAACCAATAATATAATACAGAATTGGATCAATTGATTCAGTTGAGTGATTATGTTAATGTACGGTAGCCAGATCTTATAATTTCGAAAGTATGTATAATGAAATATCGAACGCAAAGATCAATTTTAATATAAAATGATTTCCATTCCCTTAATTCCAAACAAAATCCGAAAAAGTCACTAAAATTGAAGTTTTTACTTGTTGATTCTCCTATCGCGAATTGTCCAAGCACCGACACGATGGAAAATAGCGATATCAATGAGATCAATTGCCATTTTGATCATACCAGAAATTTTCATCTTACTTCCCTCGATTTCGTTCCATTCGACTGGAATTTCGGAAATTTTCATTCCGAGGCGTCTTCCGATAACCAAAAGTTCGGGATCGAAGCACCAGCGCTGTACATGTTGGTTCATGAAGAGCATCTTGCAAGCTTCTCTTGAGAAAAGCTTGAATCCGCACTGTGTATCATGAATTCCGCGTACACCGCTGAGAACAATGAGAACATGCATTCCAAGACCAAGGAATTTGCGTATTGGAGTACGATTTGCCTTTTCATTTTGAGCTCTTGAGCCAACAACGATTGCTTGGTTGTTGTTCTTCATGAGCTTCTTGATTTCAGTCTCGAGGGCTTCGAATTCGTTGATCTTTGTTGCGCCATCTGCATCAACCATTAAAACAAGCTCGCCGCGTGCATGAAGGCATCCAGCTTGAATGGCAGCACCTTTACCCATGTTAACAGGCTGATTGAGCAAGAAAATGTTTGGATAATCCTTGGCATAATTAAGAACAACTTCTTTTGTCTTATCCTTGGAGCCATCATTAACAACAACAATTTCCCATGTGAAGGACTTGTCCTTGGCTTCACGAGATTTAAGATATTCGACTGTTTCATCGAGCATCTTTGGAATTCTCTTTTCTTCGTTGTAAGCTGGAACAACAAATGTGGTGTAGACCTTTGCTGGTTCGAAAACTGTTGGGAATGGGACCTTTTCATCACCATTTGGTGGTGGTTGGACGTAATAATTTAATTTTTGTGGATTATCTTCTGGTAATTGAGTTCTATCAAACAAAGTTGTATCCTCTGCTGTCTTTATCATCACAGCAACAATAAGTCCGGCGGCAACAATGCCAATAAATAAAAGGATCTCTAGAAAATTCCAGAAATTCATATGAAAATGAATTCAATATTTCATCGTTCTGTCACTTTTCAATTTCAGTATTTATAAAAAAATCCAATTTTGATTCAATTGATTCCTTCATCTATCGGCGTGAAGCACCACTAGACAATATATATTTAGGATCCTTTAAAATGGATGCATTTCATAGAATAAGAATCATTCTTTCTCAGGAAACTATATTTAGCAATTTTAAAATTTTATTTGATAATTCTTTGTAGTAGTAGGATAGGATGGGTTTTGTGACTTTTTTTGTAAACGTAAGAATTCATACAATATCGAGCGATTTTGTATCATTTTTTTAACATATTAATTAAAAAATATATGATTCTTACGGTTTTATTCTTACGTTTTTGAATAAATCAAGATTTAAAAAATTTTCAAAATTGTAAGACATTTACACTCAGCCCATACATAATGAAATAAAAAATAAAAATATATTTATTTATAAACCATTAAAAAAATTAACATATTAATTTTAAAATAATTTATTTTTTTATTCTTACATAAATGACCCAACAAGTAAAACCAGATAAAATAGATTATCGAATTTTAGAGGATGGAATTCCTGTTTATATTCAAAGATTTAAAAGGAAGCAATATTATAGAATTGTTAATCCTGAATACATAAAACATTTATTTAAAAAGGAAGACTGTGAATTATTAAACGTTAATGAATATGAAACCAATAAATCAAAATTGAAATATAAATATATTGGAAGTGATGAAAGATGCAAAGATAAAGATAAAGTTTATACAGTTTCATATAATGAATGGAAAACCAATAAGATAAGAAACCATTTAGGAGATTATGGTAAAAGTTCTGAATTCTTTAAATCTAGTATGTATGAGAGAGTAAAAGAAATTAGAAATAATTATTTTCATGAATAAAAAATAAACTTTAAAAATTCATGTCTTACATTTATGAAAATTTATTTTTAATTCGTAAGAAATGAGCGTCAAAACTAACAACGTGAAAACATTAGGATTCACTACCATAATGAAATAAAAAATGAAAAAAATTTGATGAGTTCAACATAGAACTTTAAGAAATTAATGATTATTTGAATTTATGAAATCAATTATTTGATTTATTCTTTCTTCAATCTCTTCTATTCTTTTTGTTAAATCATCTATTTTCATTAATGAGGTGATTCTTGATTGAGGAATAGATTTCAAACTAACCACCCCCTTTATTTTTGAAATTTTGAATCCATCAACTTTAAACATTTTATTCAATTTACACGTTGTCAATTCTTCAAATAATTTTTTATTATTAGCATAATAGTCATTAAATTCTTCAACAGATGAAAAAATTTTTATTTCAGTAATTGGTTTAACAACGTTTATTTTTTGTTGAACATTTTCATTTATTTCTTCCTCCTCTGTTTCATTTATTTTTAAAATCGGTTTCATTTATCATTAAATAAAAATTAGAATATAAGTGATGAAATATATTTTTTAATTAATATTAAATCAGAAATGGCGGCAGGATTCTTTAAAAAATTATGGGATGGAATTAAGAAAGCTGCGGGTTGGGTTTATAAAAAGATTATTAAACCCGTTGCAAACTTTTTGGCACCAGTAGCGAAAACGGCAGGAACTATCATAGGTGGAGTATTAGGTACTAAAGCAGGTAATCCGGCGATGGGAGCACAAGCAGGTAACGCAGTTGGTGGAATTGCTGAAGGAATACTTAATAAAATAGGAGGTAGATAGTGGAAAAATAAATATTATTTTTATCTTAGTATCGGTTGAAGTCTTTGATAAACTTTTTCTCCTTTATTTAATATTTCTCTTATTGGGGCGGCTTTTGGCGTTATTGATTCAGCAACGTCACTAATTGCTTCTTTATTCTTAAATATCCAATTTGCTCCCTTCTTCAATGTTTCCCAAACTTTACTCGCTCCTCTTTTTACTTTATCCCACAGTTTCTTAAATATACCTGCAGCCATAGTTGATTATTTCATTAAAATTAAAAATTCATTTTCATCTTTTAATTTTGATTTTTTATTTATTAATAAATGACGACTAACTATTTGGTGCCAAACACTAAACCGATTAATGGAAATGTGTTTCATTCATTCGAAAAGATAAATGAAATATTCGCAAAGAATGACGGTAGAAGATATTATAGAGAACTTGAAAGTTCATGCTATGACTCTGATGCTCCATATTTTGATGATAAACAAACTCATTTAAGAATTACAAATCCGGCTCATGATGTGAACCAATTAGGTGACACATATATTAAACGCAAAGTTAAAGCAACTCTAGTTTCAAATAAAGCTTTCACATGTGATGCCGCTTTTAAATGCATGCGTTTATTCGTTGGTTACAAATCATCAAATCAAAGCTTTAAACAATTAGAAGTAGAAACCGAAAGAGGTGATGCCGGTTATCTTCAGATGGATTGCGCCCGTGAATCTTTCGCATTTGCAACATATAAACCAAAATCAGAAAGGAAAGTTAAAAAGTTTGTTCATTCGTTATATAATAATGTTCAAAAATATGATAACTCAGTATGTGGTAAATATATTGACCCTTCAGAAGTTTTCAAGAGAGCAAATGAAGAAGTTGATGTCACTTTTGATATGATTATTCCGGTAAATGATTTGTTAGCATTTCAGGCGTTCGATGATTATCCTAAATCATTTGGTGAAATCATTCTTAAATATTATGTTTTCAGGGATACTTTAGTATTTTGTCAGGTTGACCCGTTAAGAGTTGCTGATTTACAAAATTACGTTTATGAAAAGATAACTGATGAAAATTATGAAAAGATTATGAATCATGTTTATAAATATGATCGCAAATTCCAACAAATCGGACTTCCTGCCAAATTAATTACAAGCTTAGCCGCTACATCTGCTGACGCAACAGTTGATGATGTTATTATTTCATGCACAAAGATGGAAGTTTTAGAGGATAAATGCATTACACCAGGATACGGTTTAATTGAAGAATCAGTTAAAGCAATACCACGTTTATTCAGTAAGGAAGATCCATTCATGATTCCAGCTCAACATATTGACGTTCGTTCACTAAATGGAGGTTGCATCACTCCTGAAGGTATTAGCTCAGATTTCTCATACGCTCTTCATAATGTTACAGATGTTGTGTTAACATTTCCGAAGAATGCAATGCAAAGAACAGTTTTAGAAAATCCAATGCTTCGAGGTCTTCAGGTCACTATAGATTCCAGAAACTTCCCTGATCAAGCGATGACCACAGTGGGCGACATATTCTTTACACGTATGCTTCAAGCTTCTGATTTAGATGGAGTGAATGAATGCACGGAAGAATACGAGGACTCATTAACTAGACCACTGAATGATGATAATGGCACACCATTAGCTAGAACATGGAAAGACCAAACTTCATTCTTATGCACTATTCCAGTTCAATGTGATGGGGCGGGTATATTCTTTGATGGATTAGAAACTTTCAACTCACAAGTTACAGTACAAGTGAAAGCTTATCCAATCATTCAGGGTAAATGACACTTACTGTTCAAAGGTGACAAATCCTCCTCAGGTTTGGTTTACTAGGACTACATATTGGACATGGACACCGGATGAAGGTTTGAAATATCATCCAACAGGTACACCACCACAGTATAGAAGTTCATATGATGAAATATTGATGAATAGAAATGTTTAAAATTATAAATTTATTTTTGATTAAATGGATTTAAATTCATCCACCCCTTATGAAGAATTAGCGGGAGTATATAATACATACGTAGATGATATGATTAATGAAGCATTGAGTGATAATAGAAATGCTCTATCTAAGGAAAAATTAATGAAAATTCCATATTCTGAATGTTACTTAAATTCAATCACTGCAGCAATTGGTAAACAGAATAAAGGTAAAACATTAACGATATTAAAACAAATTATCATTATTGCTAACACTTCCCCCTATTCACATGTGTTAATTTATATCAACCGTTCAGGTTCACCTTCAGATGATACATTTGAATCTTTAAAGCATTTAATCAAAATTCCAATTATTTATTTATCACAAGAAGAAGCAGAAGATTATTTAAAAAACTTTTTAATGTATAAAGAATTATATAATACAATCAAGAAGCAAGGATTAGAGGATAAAATTATTGATAAACAACGGGATGAATTATTTGAAACACTTTCTATTTCAAATTTTGATAGAGAATTTTTGCATTCACTCATTTTTCTAGATGATGCAGTGAAATCAAAACTAATAACAAATGAGAAATCATATTTTAATCAGTTATTAACTCAATGTCGACACATTCAGTGTTCATTCTTCATGGCTGTTCAATACTTCAAAGCATTAAGCACAAACATTAAATCAAATCTATCAACACTTTTCATTTTCAGTGGGTTTAGTCGTCAACAGTTGAACGTTATGCTTTATCAAGTGAATTTACCAATGAGCATTAATGAACTTTACACACAATATCAGCAATTAGGTGAACATGGAAAAAAATAATAGTTGATTTAAATAAAGGAAGTGTTAAATTTGATTAACTTTTTATAATTAATTTTTATTTTTTATTTATAATTAAACATGACAGAAATAGCAAATCTTCTACAGGTTCCATTAAAACAAGGACAAACAAAAAGGGTGCATATAATAGAACTATGAAAGTTCCTGATGGAATGAAAGAATTAGTTCATATTGTTGCTGGTCTTCAAAAAGATGTTAAACAAATGAGAAACGTTTTAACATTACCAGAAGCTCAAGCATATGCCAAACGTCAAGGTCCAAATTGGGAAGCACACGAAGCAGACATTACGGGTCCAAATGGAAAACCTGATGGTATAAATGAAGTTTTCGTTACTGATGGTCAAGGTAATATTAAAGTCATAAATGGTTATAAATTAACTATATCTGATTATCCTAAACGTAAAGCATATAATGAACGTTATCCTATGCAATTTGATGAAAATGGAAAAGCTGTTAAACAATACATTGGAGAAGGTGAAAATGGTCCAATTAATTCATACCGTCATAATCCATATTCTTATTTCAATGAAGAATTAAATGCTATTGAAGAGGGACCGGATGGATTACCACGATATTCTAACCAGTTTGATGGTCAATATGCAAATATTAGACCTGAAATTTCAGCTAAGAAATTCTTTAAAGTTGCTTTATTCGATCCAGTTTTCGCAAATGTTAAAGATGAACTTAAACAGCAATTCCAACCAATTATAGTAGCAAGAATTGCATCAGGTGCTTTATCTCAAGCATTCAAAGATTTAATTAAGAAACCATTATATCAGCAACGAGGTTTAACTTATGATTTAGTTAAGGAATCAGAATAAAAGAAAATTTGAGAAATCAGATGATTATAAGAATGCAATTAATGAATATATTCGGTCTATTAATTTCGATGAAAATGCTAAAAATCAACTTACATGAACAAAATACAGGGAATAATAGATTCAAAAGTTCCAGCAAAATAAAAGTTTAAATATATTTTTTTTATTCGAATATAAATGAGAAGACGTTTCACTAGTCAAAAGAACACTAACGCAAAAGCAGAGATTACGGTTGGTTATAACGTAAATGATGATAAATCACGAATTATTCAAAATGTTAAAGTTAATGTTAGCCCTGAATTAACAAGGTCAGCAACTCAACCAAATTTATTAACTCGTGACTTACCGAAAAGGAGGAGGAGCAAAATAAAGAAGATGGAGACCCAATCATTTTATCTGAACCTGGTAAAGAACCTGTTGAAATTCCCACTTATCCAACATACCCCCACCTCTTTCATCAAACATCGAGAACCCATATAATAAAATTAATTCAGAATTAATGAAAATTTACCGTGATATAATAATTAATAATTATGATTCAATAATAAATTTAATTGACCAATCCGGTTTAATTATTTTACCTTATGAATCATTAATTCACATTATCGCCATTCTTTGTGATGTTCAAGATTCAGACGTTAAGATTCAATTTTTCATAGATAATGAGGTTTCATGCTGCGGAACAGTTGCAAAAATAAATCCTATAAAGGATATTAGCACAATTAAGATATCAAAGAACGGAACAACAACTGAACTTCATTTAACATATAATGATATTTATAATAAAATAGTTGATGAATATAAAATATCACTTGAAAAATTCTTTGTTAAGGCTATTTAATATTCAAGCATTAACATTATCGAATAATCCTTTGAATCATAATCGATAATAATTGACCTTTCACCAGTTTCTATCGTTTGTTTTATTTCTTTTTGTTCCCCACTATCTGGATCGGTCATTGTAATTGTTTTTGTTATAGTATCAGCTTTATCTTTAACTTCAATCTTTTTTCCATCGGGATATTTAAACCAAAATTCCAAAAATTCGATATTGTCAATCTGTTCATATTTTAATCTATCAATTACATTTTTAATACCATCTGAAAATCTTATGAAATGGTCATTATATGGGTTTGATTGAACTAAATTTGAATGAAGTGAAATATAACCTGTTGATGAATATGACATTGACTCATATTTTTCTGAAAACACTAAAATTTATAACATGAATGAATTTCTTATTCGTTGAATTTATGAATTCTTGAGGTAATCTTATTCTAGTTTTATTTATCACTGGAAAATAACGCTTTACCATATTTTTAATCGTAATAAAAATGTCAATTATCAATAATTATTTCGAATAATAGTTGTGAATTAAATTTAACAGTTAGCGGAATTTATAATGTTACTCTCGTTTCTGTGAGTGGTAAATTTAATCCCATTCTTTTAGACCCTTCAGATTATATATCATTTATTAAAGATGACCATGAAAAAACGTATGATATGTATATAAATAATGTGATAGCGAAATGGGATATTAACATGATTTTAAGTTATTTAAATGAATCATTTATCGTATGGTATGAAGAAAATTTTAATCAAAACCCGATAAACTTTTTGAACTTGATGAAATAAATAACCTTATTAAATTCCCGCTGAAAATTAAATTTTGTACTCCTCATCTTCGTTCATTGTTGGGATATTAAATTTTGAAAAAGATGTTGGGGATGTTTTGTATTCTGACACTGGTTCCAATTTCATTTTAATCAAATGTGATAAAGTTAATACCCCAATGAGATTTTCACATCAAACATTAGACCCTAACTCTTACCCATCAATACAAAACATTTTATCCATCAACTTAAACACATTTTCTTTATCATATCCGTTTCAATTATCCGGGAATTCATTTATTCTTCATTCAAAAGATTTATCAAATATTAAATTTAGAATAACTGACCTATTTGATTGTGATTTAGAATTCATGAATGAAATATTATGGCAATTTCAAATAGAAAAAATAGTGATGAGATAACAGATTAAATATTTATTTTTAAATCATAATAAATGATTAAACAACAGCAACCACAACAACTTAAGGCGCAAAACACCCAGGTCCCTCAGACCATTACATACGCCATATATGCATATAATTCAAAGACGGCAGAACAAACGCAAAGGTTGAAATATGGAGATTTGGAGATAGTATTGAAAAATGACCGTTTTGAATTCGTTTGCAAAGGTGGTGCAGTGATATCAAATATAAAAGAAATTTTATTTATGAATTCTAAAATTAAAGGTATAACGGATGATATAACATCAATTCCACCAGAAGAACAAAGATATTACGCATTAAATGCATTTCCTAAAGTTTTGAAGATTGGAAGATTTAATTTAAATGAGGAATTCATAGAAGGTTTCCTAAATGACATAATGAAGAAGGTGGATAAGGAATATGTGGATAGTGAATTAAATAAGAAGGCAAATTTGGTTTATGTTGATGAAAAAGATGAAATTAAAGAAAAGGTTGAATGGTATCATGAATGGACATTTGAGACTTTTAAAGTTAAAGCTGATACAGGATGGGTTTCGGGATGTTTAGACCTTAAAGCAGATAAAACATATGTTGATGAAAATTATGCAAAGAAGTCGGAAGTAAATGATGTGATTACAAGCATGAAAAATGAAATACTTCAAACATTATATCCTGTTGGTTCTATTTATACATCAATGAACTCAACAAATCCAGAAACAGTTTTAGGTTTTGGTACGTGGAAGCAGATTGTAGATAAATTCTTATACTGTGCTAGATATTCAAAGCAAACAGGAGGTTCGAAGAAAATTAAAGAAGCAAACCTTCCACCGCACACTCATACAGGAACTACAAACACAACAGGTAATCATTCACATTCAATAACAAAAAGAGGTTATATAAATCTTGCAGCGGGTTCGGATAGATGGGGAATGAATAGATATGATATCACAACTGACCCAGTAGATTCAAGCACAGGTATTTTCTGTGGAACCGCGGGTAATCATTCACACACTTTCACAACAAATCCAACAGGCTCGGGTAAAGATTATATGCCACCATTTGTGACTGTATTCGCATGGTACCGCGTTCAATAAACACACTTGAGCCTACTTTGCAGGCTTACCGAATGAACTAAATATATTTTATGTCTGTAATTAATTAGGTAATGAAGTAATGGATGAACTGCAGAAATAAATGTTTACGTTAATGTTTACGTTAATGTTTTTAGGTTATTCAATAATTAATTATTTTTGAAGAACTGAAGGTGTCACTATGTCACCATGTGTCACTCGGTTAATTAACTTCTCTGAAAAAGTGAGACAACATGACATTTTGACAACAACACAGGAAATAAATGTTTAGGGTAGATGGTTAGATCTAACCTCATTTCTAACCTCATTTCTACCCTCATGAATTTTCATGAATTTTATATATTAATGTTTTCGTTAAGCCACTTTGTGCCGTCAGTCAGTCAGTTTAGGAAAGACTTTAGAAAGTTGTTGGAAAATAAGTCCTGGGAAGAGTATTATAAGGCATTTTGTGAAGAATATAGCAACCGCCGGAATTCAGACGGTTGTTTTTTATACAAAATTCATGCAGGAAATTCTTGAGTTTTGGTTGAAAGAATACGGTCGAGCCACTTTTGGCTCCACCTCAAAACAAGCATTTTATGAGCTTACTAAGGGCGTTATAAATGAATTCAAAGGTATTTACATACATCCTGACCTCGTTCATTTTGTTGCTGAATTCAGCAAAAATAATGTTTAGGGTAGATGGTTAGATCTAACCTCATTTCTACCCTCATTTCTACCCTCATGAATTTTCATGAATTTCCTTAAGACAGAAGAAATAAAGTTAGTTTTATTTTTATTTTTTTATTTTGTATAAAAGATATGATTTCAACAATCGGCACAACAACAATTCAAGCCACGAACGGTGGGACTCTGTCCACAACTACGGCACCAAATTCATTAATCATGAATCCTACGTCAATGTTGGTAGAGATGAAAAACTTCATTCCTTCTTCATATACTTTTGAAACAGAAATACAAAGAATAAAGCAAGAACTTTTAACAAGTAATTTAGACTGTAGTGCGAAAGATGAAACAAATGGAGAGGAGCTATATGAAATGCAAGATATCATAGACCATTTGCCTAAATTACCGGAAGTTCAGCAACAAAAACTAACTATTCCTGAATTCGATGAAATTGAAGTTAAAGTTACTGATTCAGTAGAAATAAAGAAGTTCATACGTAAAGTAAATTATGAATTCCTTGGTTTTCATTGCAACCATAAAGTTATGAACAAAGATTGCGACATGGTTTATAAAAACATTTCTGACATATATAAATCTGAGGAGTTTAAGACTTACGATAACTTTGTTTCATTAGTTGCTGAATGTGTATGGCAGATAAGAGATAAAGACAGAAGAGGCAAAGTATGGAACGAACAGATAAAACCAACTGCTTCAGATTTAAAGAAAGCCATTGATGCTTTAGTTATTTTAGCTGGTAATGTTTCAATGTATAACGCAAAAATGAATCCGCAATGTTCAAAATGTAAAGCAGCAATGAGGAAATATAACTACTCCGTCAAAGAGATAGAACGTATGAGAAACGATTACGCAGACTTAAAGAAAGAAGCAGAAAAGCCAGCAGAAGATAAAATAGACATGTTGACATTTCTTAATAAAAACTATCCCACAGCTGATGATTTCCTTTTATCTGATGTCAAGAAGAAGTATAAAGAAACTTTCGGCATTGTTAAAATTTTTGATATATTAACTGAAGAAATAGAAGCTACAAAAATATTTAAAATTTCACGAATTCATAACGTATATCACGTTAAACGTTTGTAAATCTTGAGGGTAGAAATGAGGTTAGAAATGAGGTTAGATCTAACCATCTACCCTAAACATTATTTTTGTCTGAAAAATGACCAAATTTCATGAATTTCATTAGTTAGAAAAATAACGCTAATTTTATTTTCTAAGAAAAATTTTTATCTTGTATGTAAGAACAGTAATGTCAAACATTGAGTTTGAAACAGTTAGAAAGATTGACAATGACACCAAAGTGGTTAGAATAGGTGATTTAAACGTAAGATACTCAAAGAAATACAACAAATATTCTTTGTCAGACATTATAACACCATCTGGAAAGAAAACAAAGGACTGGGTTAGAATTGCTTCTACTCAGAAAATTTTGACAAGAAATCCTGAGCTTATGATATCAGTAGCATTTCATGGAACAAGAGCATATCTAATTGACAAAAGTCTTATACCAATAGTTTTGTTATGGTTAGACCCAGTTGTTGGATATAACTTCATAACATATGGTTCATTCGACTCAGAACGTTGCAGTGAAGGCTTACTTTATATCGTTCAGAAACCGAAGGACTTCAATACAAAGAGATATAAGATAGGAAGAACATATAATATAACTCAAAGATATGACAGTACAGTCAATAGAGTCAAGGTTGTGTTCGTTAATGATATGAGAGCTGCAGAAACAGAACTGCTTGAAGTTTTTGAGAAAAGGTATGGTGCTCCCATGAAAGGTAAAGAAACGTTTGAAGTAGATGAGATAGATAAAGCTATAAAATTATTTGACGAAGTTGCTGAAAAATACATGTAAAGCGTTTATTTTTGGTCTTTTGTGAAAGTCAGAAAATAACGCTAATTTTTTTTTCTAAGAAAAATTTTTATTTATTTTGTATGAAATGACAGTAATGTCAACAACAGAGAACACAACAACTGCTATCGTTCATGAAGCCATAAATGAAGAATACGAATACATACAATATAACAAACAACTTCGCCTCATTCGTTCGGTCAAAGATGAGATGTACCAAATGCAAAGTATAATGAATGCTCTTCGTTCTACAAAGCAAGCATATCATTGGTTTGAAAACCAACAGACAAAAGAACTTTTAGAAGAATTTCCTCATATGATTGCTTCCCTCGGAAAACCGAGAGAAGAGATTCCGTACGAAAATCGCAAGAGGGTAGAAATGAGGTTAGATCTAACCATCTACCCTAAACATTATTTTTGGGTCATTTACGTTCATTACGATGACTGAAGCCAAACAAGATTTAATCGAGTTATCAACAAATCCTTTAGATGTATGGATAAATACACATTATGATGAATTGTGTGCAGGTATGACATGTAAAAATGCTCTATTCTGCAAACCATCAGACATGAAAGACAAGAATTTCCAAATGAGCATTAAAGATAAATGTGATAAGAAACAGAGAAGAATAAATGGTAAACAAACATGGTGTTATGTTTTGAAAGAAGAAATGAAAGGATTATATAAACAGGTTGAACCAAACGATAATGAGGATTCATTTACTGACGATGAAATACCTGTAAATGATGCTTTATAAAGTATGATTGGAATTCATTTTTGCATTAATCCTGTGTTGTTGTCAAAATGTCATGTTGTCACAAACTTTAGAACGGCATAATTTAAAATTTTATTTTTATATAAATGGATACCCCACAAGCTCAAAATTTACCACGAATCATAACAAGGGAGGAAACGATAAAAATGATGCGAGAACTTGCTAAAAATAACAAACCACTAAAACTGAGAAAATGTGGTTATGCAGTAATGATGGAAAGAGAGACGTTGTCGAAGAGGAATAAAAATTAAATTTGGATTGAGTTTAAAAATTCATCTTTATTAAATTCATCTCTTCCAATCAATTTATTTATTCTATTAAATTCTTTTATTTTTGCTTCACTCAGTTTAAGGATTGAACGGTAAGTTTCTAATTTTTCAATTATTTCCTTCTTCTCTTTATCGTTTTCAATTACTTTAGTTTTATGGGCATCAACCCCACCGCATTGCGCTTCTTTTTGTAATAGCATATTTTTGATTTAATTCTGTTTAGTTTCTTTTTATATTCATGTCTGGACTCTTGACTGCTTGTTGTCACTCATTTCTTACGAAATAAAAAAATTAAATATTATTTAAATATAATGGAGTAATAAAATAAATCGGAATTTCTATTAATTTATTGTCAACTTCAACTAATGCATTGCCGTTAATATATCTAACAAATTCAGCTATTGTGTCAAATCTTCGTCTTCTTTTTGTCATTGATTTATCAGTTTTTCCATAATCGAGATGAATCAAAACTTTATCCCTTGTTTAAAATTCATGAGCCCCGAATTAATTTGTTCACGTTTAACATCATTTAACCTTTCCATTTGCTTTCTAATATATTCCCATTCTTTTGAAATATCATTTTTCATTTCCACTGGTTTCATGTTTATAGTTCTATGCCATGTATTATTGTAATAATATACTAACTGTTGTATGATGGAGTCATGATTTCCATCCCAGTATATCTGACCGTTAACCCCTAACGCATCTCTAAGAGTTCTCATTACCGCATCAACTATTTTATTATGAAACGTATATGGAAGGATGAAAAGAAAAAATTAATTTGTGGGAAATAATGATCATAGTTGCCTGAAATCCTTTATCACCATCACCCCTTATATTATCTACTCTTTCATGATCTAGTAAGTATTGTATAGCTCTTCTTGTTTCCTGTTCTGTTTTCCCTTTCACCGGAATGCAATATAAATATCTAGTGTTAATGTTAATGGCAAATAAATAAGTAACGTTTCCTTTTGAATATTCCAGATGATCGATTTCGTATGAATATGGATATGGTGCAAATGAAGGGCGACTAAATTTTTCCTTTAACGGTTGAATTTTTGGGTCAGTTGGTTTATTTAATATCTTGAAACCCTTTTTAAAATCTTTTTGCTTCTTTAATGTTTGAAATGGATATAATAAAGTGAATGATGAAGGATTAACTGAAGGAGGAGGCGGTACTGTCGTTGGAGGTTTTGGTGTTGCAAGTGGTTTAATTTTATCTGCTTTGATTTTGGATGATGAAGTTTTGGAATTCATTCCTTCCTTCATTAATTCTGGATGTATTCTATTCATTTGTTTTAAATATGCTGTATATAAAGGTTTGATATACTTTCCCGCTTCGAGTTTATGTTAAAGGATGAATTCCAAAAGTTGATCTTCATTTAAAAGTCGGGCTGAATATGGTTTAACTAATGA